ACAGAATAAATGAGCAAATAAAAAATGAAAGACTTTGTGATGAGGCAAGTTCTGTCTTGGAACATGATGAGAAAAATCTGCTTTTTGTTGCATTCTGGCAAGCAGACACTACAAATGCAATTTATGTGGCTGGGTACAACTACAGAGGGTTGAAAACATCCTAAGAGTTTGCTGCTTTTTTTTTTAAGTATAATTGAAGAAAGCCAAAGGAAATTTGGCTTTCAGAAAACAAGTTAGAGACCAAGTTAGAAATTTACCAGAGAACCTCTGGACATGCAAAAGAGCAGTTTATAAAACATGTTAATAACAGTAGGCTTTATAAAGGGTCTGTTTAGATAAAATAATCAAATAAATCTACAAGTCAGTAACACTGTAAATTGGAAGAGTTCACGGAATTTAGCCAAAAGTTAAGAAATTCTACAATAAACACATTTCACATCACAATCCAGAGGATGCTGCAGATGCCACATGGCCTCTGCTTCAAGGAAAACTCTCCTTCAAACAATACAGACACCAAACTTCATGGATTTTAGAAGAGTGGGGCATTATTTCTGTAGAAAAAACCCAAGTGAGAACTTTAAATAAAACCAAAACAAAGCTAAACCCTTCTCCTAATTAAAAACCACCCAACTTACTGTAACATAAATGCAGCAACCCAGTAAAAATCACCAAAAAATTGTCCTTTCTTAGCCAAACATTTGGGACCTCTTGTGAGACTGGGCTCTTACAAACTTCATGTGCAGGGCAAGGAGACCTCCACAGCTCTGAGATTCCCAAATGTCAACCCCAAATTCAAGCTGCTTGCACAAATTCTCAAATTTCTATATCCACTCAGCAAAACTCAGAACTAAAAACTTCTGTGGATACAAAACAGAGCAATGTTTGCTGGACTTTTACAGTTAAGCAAGAGTGAATTCTTAGGAGTTCACACATCAAATACTTTGAATAGAAATAAGTTTTTTATTATTAAACTGATACTAACCCTGGATATCACATTATTAACCTAAACCAAACCTGTGTAAGTTGTGCCACAGTATAACCCAACAGGCCTCTCCTGGAACATGTCAACACTGAGATGCATTTCTCTAAATGTTCATTTTAAATTCCTTTGAATAGCACAAATAATGCCTAAATAGTTCAAGAAAGTACAAATGGTACTCAGGTTCGAATAGAATCTCAAATAACAATTTTTATAACAATTTAACCCTTAAGATCAAACCAGAATTTTACCACTTTACTCTCCATAATAAATTCTTTCAAAGTTATTTCTGCACAGCAGTTTTTTACAAGATCAGTCTTCACAGTCTTTAAAAAGAGGGAGAGAAAAACACAAACAAGCTTTGTCTTGCACTCTCCAGCTACAGCTGGCTTAAATCCTGATAAAAAACCATTATATGAAGAACTCTCAACAAGTCACTTTGTAATTGCTACTAAATCTCCTACAGAAAGGAGGCAGCCTCAAAATACACTGTGCATTTAAACAGAAATTGTCTTAATATATCAAAGTCTCACTAAAAACCCACCATGCAGCAGCTTTTCCACCCACCACTCTACCAGATTTTGAGAATACATTAAAGGAATCTAAAAGCAAAACTGTTCAGTGGGTTTGAGTTAGTATTACCTCAGAATTAAATATAAAGTGGAAAGGAAAAAAGGCAAAAAAAAAGCCCTGAGAATCAGGAAAATCTTAGAATTATCATTATAATTGTGAGCAAATGAGGCAGGGAACTGGAGAGGAGGAACAGCAAGTCCATGCAGAGGACAGCTCACAGTCATGTGTCAGAAACAACAGGAGGAATTCAGGTTCCTTTTAATTCAGCATTTTCCAATTTCTTCAGCACACTGAAGGTCTTTAGAACTCAGAATTCCACGAGCTGTCAAAGAACACATGACACATTCAAAAAGCTTCTGACTGCTCTGAGGCTGTAAAAAAGGAACAAGAGGAGTGGGCCTTGCTGAAGAGGCAGGACATTGTTTGTACTTACAACAGGTAGCAGCAAACAGCACAGGTCACCAGCATGGTGTTGATAACTCTGCCAAGAGGAAGGAGAAATGTGATCAGGTGTGGTGTTGTGACCCACCACAAGATCCACAGAGAAAAAGCCCACAGCAAACAAGGACAAGTTCCACTTTGATCATATGAAAGATGACTCAACATGAATGTTCTGGCTTCTTCCAGCTGAGTAAACTGCAGAGCTCAGATCTGCAGGACTGACACAGCTCTGCCAAACACTTTACAGCTGGATTTAACAAAATCCCTGTGAACAGCAGCAAAATCTGATGCAGTGTCCCTCACATTAGTGAACCACTGAGGCTGGATGCACACAATAAATGCTCTCTCCATTTGCACAATTCTACTTCAAGAAAGTTTTAGTGTCAAATTGTCACTTTTAATTTTACATTATGAATGAGGGGTTTAAAAACTGAATACAAAATAAAACCTCAAAGCTGTAGTGTAAAATTTTCCTTTCTTGGGGAAGCACAGCTGTGTCAGAAACCACTGGAAAGCTGAAAAGAAGGAAGAACCAAGCTCTTGAAATTGAAAAGGGTAAAACTTCAGCTACACACACACAGATGGGTCTGAAAGGGGAGAGGAAACGGGATTTTTTAACAGTAATTTCTGCAGCTCATGGAACTCAGTGGTAAAGTGTTGGGCTTTTTTCTTTTCAAATTATAAAAAGGCATTTCCATCTATGTATTTCCTCCCCCAACTGAGTAACAAAACCTCATGGCAGGTCAGTAACTGCTGTTGGTGAGGCACAGAATTCCCACACTTCCATGCCTGGGAGCCATTTTTCCAAGGTATTTCTGAGGACAGGCAACTTTCCAGGCATGGAACACACATCACGTTTGACAGTGAGGCAGGAAATATCAGAGCTAGAGGAATGTTGAGGGTTTAGATAAAGAACTGAGAGAAAAGACAGTTGGTACCTGTGGAGTAGAGGGAGTGTCAGAGAGAGGAAGAGAGATTAAGAAGCCATTATCTCCTAGAGAAAAGAGAAAGACAAAAACTTGTCTGCTTTTTAATCTGAGCAGCCACAACCACTGCAGGAAAAACGCGAGCTTAGAAGCCCTGCTGCTGTCCTCAGCTACAAGGGCACAGCACACATTTCACCCAGAAATCCACCTCTGCAGCCTGCCCAGCCTCACCCAGCGTGAAACCAGAGGACGGTGGAGTCAGTTAGGAAAGGTCAAGTAAGGAAAGAAAGAGAAAGCTGTTGCTCAAATACCACCTGACAATGAACCACCTTGACACAGGACGTTCTGCCAAGACCTTAAACCTCATCTCGTTCCACCCCCTGCCATGGGCAGGGACACCTTTCAACATCCCAGGGTGCCCCCAGCCCCATCCAACCCGGCCCTGGGCACTGCCAGGGATCCAGGGGCAGCCCCAGCTGCTCTGGGCACCCTGTGCCAGGGCCTCAGGGGAAACCCAAACCCGCGAGGGGCCCCGTGGGCACCGCCCGGCCCTGGCAGCCCCAGGGGCCGCTGCTCCGCTGCCCCTCGGCCGGGCCGGGCCCGTCCGTGCTGCGCCAGCGCCGCGCCCGCGGGGCTGCGGCGGCCCCGGGCCCGGGCAGCCTCGGGGCGCCTCAGGGCTCCGGGGCCGCCTCCGCCGGGGCCTCCCCCCACAACCGCGGGGGATGGAAGGGAAGGTGCCCGGTGCCCGCCGCCCCCCGGTCACTCACCCGCGGTTCGGCCCCTTGGGTACGAGCCAGGGCAGGACGCCGCCGACCACCCCCCAGAACACGCTCATGACGATGATGGGCACCGCCAGGCCGCCGTACGCCATGGCCGCGCTCTGAGGGGAACGGGGGCGGGGCCTCCCGCCACGCCCTGCCCGGCGCTCACCAATCAGCGCTCGCCACGTCACCGGGGCCGGCGGGAGCGCGCGGTGCGGGACGCGGGAGCGCGCGGTGCACGTGCAGTGGGATCGGGGCTGGGATGGGATCGGGATTGTCATGGGATCCATGATGGGATCGGGGCTGCGATGGGATCGGGATTGTCACGGGATCCATGATGGGATCGGGGCTGCGATGGGACTGGGACTGTGATGGGATCGGAGCTGCCGTGGGATCCCCGGCCCAGCCCGGCCCCCCATGCCCATCCCAAACAGGCTGCCGGGTAAGGGGACACGAAGCTCCTGCCGGGTAAGCGCTGGCTCTGAGCTCCTCAGGGAACCGGGACACGATTCCACAGAGCAGCTCTGCACCTGGAAAAGTCCCGGTAATGAACAAACCTCACGGAATTCCTCAAACACCCACTCAAGGTGAAGAAATTTCGTACTGAGCAGCACGAGCTGGAGGGACAAACCCCCCGAGGCTTCATGAGAGAAACCCACCCACAGCCCACCGAACACAGCTTCACTGCCAGGCCCATGAATGGCTCCTAAAACAATTCTCCTCGATTGCCAGCATCCTCTTTTTTAAATTCCAGTTGTTCAGGCAGATGAATTTCTGTCTCTCTGTAGCAGCAATTAGAGGGCATTTCACTGAGCCAGTCAATTCACAACTGCAGAGCTGTTTTCAACAAGCAGCTCTCAATTATGGAGGTACAAAGTGCCAGGAAAGATCTCCTCTCACAGAAAATTCATCCAAAATAGCACCACCAGCAGCGCTGAGACTGCTGCACCCCATCCCTTCCCAAACCAGTCAGCTCTGCCTCGTCAGCACTGCTCATACACCCCTTTCTCCTCATTAATATAAGACCCAAATTAATTACATATACAGTGCACAGAATGAACACGTTAATATTAAGAAAACCGTGGACATATCTAATGAAGAGACAGAAACACAATCACTGTTAAGATGGATGTTTCAGGACTGCACTGCTCTTTCAGGTTGGTTGAAGCATTCTTTACAAGGAGAAAACTCTTTTTCTTAGCAGTAAAAACAGGTATAAAGAGCTTTTTAATTTAGTGTATTTTTTACAAAGTCGAAACAAAAGTAGGAATATTTAAATGCAGAACACATGAAGATTTTTGAAAGAAGACACACAAGAGGTTGAATTTTAGCAGTTTTTTTAATGGTGTCAATCAGGAAACCAGCTATTCTTGCATCTTCTCGATTGTCTCCTCCTTGTACTTGCCCTTCTCCTTGCCAACCTGGCGGGACTTGGCTTTGCGCTCCAGGATCTTCTTGCGGTCCTTGTCCAGCTTTAGCCTGGTGATCACCACCTGCAGAGGGCACAGAGACTTCAGGCTATGTAGCCACGACATTTTATGAAAATCCTTTGCTAGGATTTTTCTCCTCTTCTAGCTGAGAAGCCTCAGGAAATAAATGTAAACAATTAACTGTCTGATGGCTGTGGAATGCAACAGCCAATCTGTGATTGGGGCATGGTTGTTTCTAATTAACGGCCAGTCACAATCAGCTGGTTGGACTCTCTGAGAGTGTCAAGTCTTTGTTATCATTCCGTTCCTGTTCTTTCTAGCCTTCTGATGAATCCTTTTCTCTCTATTCTTTTAGTACAGTTTTAATATAGCATTTTCATATAATATGTATCATAATATAATAAACCAGCCTTCTGAAACATGGAGTCAAGATTCAGATCTCTTCACTCGCCCCCATAAGGCTCCCTGTCCACAGGGAAGGGCAGCAGCCAATGCCAAACCCACCTGGGCCACAGCACACAGCTGATCCCAGCAGCACAAAGGAGGAATCAAAGCTGCTTGGACACTCCAGGAGCAGCCACAGCTTCTCCAGGCACCCTGTGCCTCACCACCCTCCCAGGGAAGAATTTATCCAACAATTCCTGCTCCTGGCTTCTCAAACTGGCAAAGAAATTGGTACAGGTATTGAAACTGGTGTTACTGAAAGCACTACCTGGAAAACAGAACTATCAAATCACAGAAATGCCATATAGGCACACTTCCTCCTTAATTCCCTGTGCATTCAGGTCTGAATTGTAATTCCCACCTCTTTGCCCAGGAGATGTACAAACTGTTCATACTGCAAGTCTGTAACAAAACATTCCTCTGCTCTCTGCATTAATAACCAGAATCTTTATGCAAAGCTTTACTGAGGTCTAGCTCCCAATTAATAAAAATTTTCCCAGTGAAGAAGCAGCAGAAAATTCCATTTTTCTCACTGCTATTCAGCACACAGATACATGCACTGGCTCCACCACAATGTCACCTTGTCAGATGTTGTGGCTGCACACAAGTCGTGATGTTTTGGAATAATTCTGCCCTCCCTCTGCTGAACACACCAACCATTTACACCACAAAACCTGTTACAACTGGATTTTTTCCACCAACACTTCCATCTTTGTGCCCACGTGGCAAGGCTGAGGCAGACTGAATTTATCTGCTTCAAACCAGATTTTGGCAAGTTCTTGTGTTTAGTTTGCAATGTTTCCTGTTATGATCTAAACAGGCTTTGCCTGGTTTTCACCAGCTCTAAATACCTCAGGCTAAGCCCAGGTTCAGAAGTATTCAGTTCACAACTGCCTGCAAGAACAATCACAACTCTGAGCATGTGTTTAAGCCTCTCCAGCACCTCCTCAACCAGTGCAAGTGCCACACTGCAAAGATGAAGGATTGTTCTAAATGATCAATTTTGTACTTTGAAAACATCAGCCTCTTCAAAGATGTATTTGAGCAAGATAAAGTTTCTAGCAAGTTTCTACTCCTAGAAACAATGTGGTTTCAACTCACATCTCTGCTCATGACACCCTAACATTTCCTTGAGGCAACATCTCCATTTGTTATTCACAGAACCCCACAATGGGTTGGGTTGGAAGGGACCTCAAAGCTCATCCAGTGCCACCCCTGCCATGGCAGGGACACCTCCCACTGTCCCAGGCCACTCCAAACCCCAGCTTGGCCTTGTTGGACACGGCCAGGGATGCAGGGGCAGCCACAGCTGCTCTGGGCACTGTGCCAGGGCCTGCCCACCCTCACAGGGAACAATTCCTAATTCCCAATATCCCATCTGACCCTGCCCTCTGGCTGTGTGAAACCATTCCCTTTATCCTGTCCCTCCAGGTCCTTCTAAAATTCTCTCTCCATCTTGTTGGCTCCTTCAGGCACTGTGAGGCCACAACTGTGTCACCCCAAAGCTCCTCCTGCCCAGGTGAACAATCCCAGCTCTCCCAGCAGAGCTGCTCCATCCTCTGCTCCCTGGTGCCTCCTCTGGATCTCTCCAGCAGCTCCAGCTCCTTCCAGGGCTGGGGCAGCTCCGCAGGTGGGGTCTCACCTGGGGGGCACAATGCCAGCCCCTTCCTGCTGCCCACTGGGGACCAGCCCAGGCACAGGGGGCTCCTGGGGCCAAGACAGGTCCAGCTCTTGGCCAGCAGCACCCCCAGACCCTTCTCCCAGGGCTGCTCCATCTGCTGACCCAGGGGCATTCCCACCACTTGTCAACAGGTCCCACCCAACCCCAGAGCAGCCCCAGTGCCCCCGTACCTTGCTGGGGTGGATGCCCACGTGCACGGTGGTGCCGTTGGCCTTCTCCCGCTGCACGCGCTCGATGTAGATCACGTATTTCTTCCTGTACACCTGCACCACCTTGCCGATCTGCTGGCCCTTGTAGTGTCCCCTCACCACCTGCACACAGCACACACACACTGAGCTCCAGAACCAGCCCTGGAGCAGCCAGCCCTGCTCACAACCCAGCACTGAGCCACCCAGCTGAGCTGCACAGGATCCAAGCCACAAACACATGAGTGACCTGACAATTTCAGCATTACTAACACAGAACATAAAACAGATCAGGATTGTGCTTCCCCCCATTTTCTCTGCAGCAAACCGTAATGAGGGAGCTCTGTAGCTTTGCAGCCAGGTGTTGCCCTGTTCTTCTAAGCCTTCTGATGTTTACATTCTTGTAATGAACTTTCTCATGCATTTTTATGTAAATAATTATCGTTTAACATTCTTCTCTGGAGGAAGAGAAATTTGATGGGCTGTTGTCTTGTCCAGTGTCATTGGAGAGGTGGCACTTTTATCCTCCAATCCACTGTCACTTTTGAAAATTTTTAAATGTTGGAGTCAGAAAATAAATTTCCCTTCTTTTTACCCTGGAGGTTCCAGCATGTGTGTTGTTTTATTTAGTGTCCTATAGCGACAGCCAGGTTTCAATTTTTAACAGTTTTTACCCTCATTTTTCATCTATCATTGTTTTATACAAAAAAAGCCACTTAGCTTGGACTCATTTCTAATCCAAACTTTCAAATATCACAGGTAGCAAACAGTCTATAAGAAAACCCAATTCTTTGCTTTGTGCTTTATTGCTGAAAGTTTTCAGTTCAGCACAATGATCAGTGCATGCAGCTGAAGTGCAGCACACCTGTGCCATCCTTATCACTGAAGTGAATTTAAATGAAGTGAATTTAAGAAACACTTGACAGCCCAACTCATGACATGATTAACTTAGATTATTTTCTGTCATGCTTAAGACAAAGCTCCAGCATTAATACCAGTTTGTCTCGTCCTTGCCTTTTGCACAAGCTGCACATGAAAACCGAATCCCAGACTCAGCTGGCTTGAAAAAGACTTCCAAGATCATCAAATCCAAATTATGCCACATCCCCACCTTGGCTCCATCCCCACCCTGTCCCCAGCCCAGAGCCCCGAGTGCCACCTCCAGCCCTTCCTGGGACACTCCAGGGATGGGCTCTCCAAAGCTCCCTGAGCAGTTCCAAGGCCTGAGCACCCTTTCCATGGGGAAATTCCTGCTGGAAACTCCCGGGAGGAGGCGCAGGTGTGGCAGGGCAGTACCTGGACCTCGTCGTCCTTGCGGATGGGCATGGAGCGCACGTTGTACTTCTGCCGCAGCTCCTTGGACAGGGGCGAGGACATGATTTTCCTGCGGATGTGGGAGGGGGCATTGAAGTGCCTTTTGCGGTTCTTGCTGCGGTCCGAGGTCACAAAGGGGTTGAACTTCATTTTGGCTGCAAAAAAAAAACAACAAAACATAGCAGTTGGAGAGGTGCTGCAGCACACACACACTCCATCACCCACGCCCAGTCTGCTGCGGCATAAAAAATAATTTTAACTGTTTTAAATCCCAGCACTGGTCAACAAACCCTGATATCCCTGACTCCAAATAAGTTGAAGCCTCTGCCCTGCTGGCAGTGACCCTGTGACTGACACACGTGCACATCACACCGTTCTTCCAGCCCGAGGCTCCCCGTTCCCAGCGCCCAGGACACCTGCATGCTGCCCTGCACCGCTCTCATTTATATCCATCTATAAAAATGTGTATTTTGGGCTTGCAGAGGGAACTCGCACTGCTCCAGCACCGCCAGGAACGCTCCTCGCCACAGCGTACAGGTAACACATCTGCAAATCCAAGATAATTCTGGCCTTTCCTAAACTTTTACAACTGCGCTAGAGAATTGCCAGTCAGGGCACCACTGATCCTGATAGCAAAAGGTAAATTAAATGAACGATAAATTAAATTAAAGGGCGGTTTTGCTCAACTCCCCAACTTCTGAGCGCACACCCTGGCACGTCCCGGGGCTGGGCAGCGCTAACTCAGTAACGCACCAGGGCAGCGCAGCCTCAAGGAGGCCGAGCTCCCCCCGAGCCCCAGCTCTCCCCGTCCCGCAGCCCCGGGCGGGCTCTCGGCCACCCGAGCCCCTTCCCGCACCCCGCCGCTGTCCCGCGGAGGCCCCGCCGGCCGGAGATGGCCGCGGATAGCCCCGATGGCCGCGGATGGCAGCCCCCGGTGCCTCACCCGCTGCCGCCACCGCGCCGCCCGCCCGGAAGAGGAGCCAGAGGCGCTTCCGCCTCCGCTTCCGGCCCGGCCCCGAGCCGCGACCCCTGGCGGCCGGAGGGCAGCGCTGCAGCGGGGACAGAGCGGGGACAAACCCGGGACAGAGCCGGGATAGAGCCGGAATAGAGCCGGAGCGCATCTGGGTGAGACCCAGGACACAGCTGGGACAGAGCCGGGACACAGCTGGCACACATCTGGGCACCTTTCCTGGTGCTCACCTGAGCATCACACCCTGGGCACTGTCCCGGTACCGACCTGGCACCATCCCCGGTACAGAGCTGCTGGCACTGTCCCCAGTGCCACCTGGGCATGTCCCCAGTGCCACCTGGGCATGTCCCCAGTGCCACCTGGGCACCCCCTGCCCGTCAGTCCTGCCCTGCTGTTCACCAGCAGCTCCTTCTCTCCATGAATGAGGCTGAAACTGGTTCCTCCTGCCCTGCCCTGCCCATGTCCCTGTGCTCCAAGGGACACCAGTGACACCAGTCCGAGGGACACCAGTGACACTAGTCCCATGTCCCTCTGCTCCAAGGGACACCAGTGACACCAGTCCCATGTCCCTCAGCCCCAGGGGACACCAGTTCCCCTGCCCAGCCCCTGTCCCTGTGTCACTGTCACCTCTGTCCCTGTCCCCATAACCCAGCTCACCTGCACAAACCATTCCCCTTTCAGGTGGATGTGGCCCAGTACATCTTTTCAGGACACAACTTAATTTATTCTCAATGAAAATTGGCAGAAATTAACCAATTAATTGGCTTGGCTGGGTTTGGGCTGGGTTTTTTATAAAGACAGGCTGGAAAAGTTTGGGACTGAGTTGCAGCAGGCTGGGATTTGGACAAACACCTTCCCCAGAGCCTTTATTTGTCATTTACAGAGTGAGAGACTTCCAGCAGCATCCCATCACGTGTGGAAATGAGAGTTCAGTCACTGGAACAGGCAGGGTCTCTTCCTCCACAAAGACCTTCCCAACATAAAGGGAATTTGTTTCTTAAGATGGTGCAGATATCCTGAGCCCAAACTCACTGTGCTGTAACCCTTTACTGTTCCATCTTTAAAAATTGCCTCAGACTTTTGTTTCTAAACAGTTATGAAGCAAGGCTAAGTGGACATTAAAGGAGGGGGGGGGACAAAAATGGGATTATTTCACATACCAAGGAGCACAGTGACTAAAGCCAAACCCAGCAAGTCCCAAGCACAGTCCATTCACCTTTCCTTAAAAAAAGGAGGTTGGGACACTTGGTACTGTACAAAACCCAGCACTGAATGTCCAGACGTGACTCAGGGCTGATTACAAAAGAGCCTCGTGCTAACTTTCACCACAGTGACCTGTGATTTCATTGTGTGATAACGCTCAGTTCACTGAAATCATCATTAAAAACAAAAGAAAAAAGCCCCTTTGGATTGATTTTGCAACAGGAGTGTGACAAGAAGCCAATCAAAACACGTAAGAGTTTTATTTTTAATTATGGAACTAAAAAGGCTAATAGTTTATTAACATAAGGTTGCAAATTAAAAAGACAAATGCCAGAACTCCTTAACAGTCTCCACTGTAGAAATGTAAAAGACTTGTGCTTTAAACATTGCAGTACCAGACACGGCAGGGCTGCTCCTCCTCCCTGCCCCTCTCCCACACCCCAGGGACAAACTGACACCCCCAATCTGCAAATTAAAAACTCTTGTAAAGCAAGAGACTCATCCCAGCCAGCCCCAGCCCCAACAGCCCCGTGTCACACAGAGAAAGAACAATAAATGAGAAATACTCAGGAGCTGGTGGCAGACAGGGCCACCTACATTGCAAATCTCATTTTTCACAGCGCAAATCAATGCAAGGATTTGAGAGATCAGATCAAACGTTCACAGACTCATCTCTCCTGGATTTTTGTACCCCATTTCCGTTTTGTTTTCTTTTAAAAATCTTCTTCAGCAGTCCAGATACTGCCTAGAATACATCTAATAACTTTCCCTAGAGCTAGAAGTTTTTAACTCCACCACTGCAAAGCATCCTATGCCTCAAGTTCTCACCGTAGGGTGGAGTCTGCAGTTACAGGGAATAATTTAAAGTGGGAGTTTCAAATATTTCCTAAAGGGATGTCTTTTTTGGATATCCAAATTCTTCAATAAAAACACTGACTTGAAATGGCAAAATCAGAACCCCACAACTCAGGGTTTCCTTCTGCTCTGACTCCAAATTCTTTTGTTTGCAAGGACGTTTAAAAGCACCACTAAGCTCATTTTCTCTTCAGAAAATTCAGAATAAAAGTGAGATCTCATGGGTGCAGAGGCAGTAAGTGCCTTGCCTTCACAGCTGGGGAGGTGAAGAGCAGATTCTGCTGCAAACACACGATGCAGCACCGCGGTGTGACCCTGCAGGACGAGCTCACCACAAAGCCCAGCAGCCCCAGAGGGTGGCCTTGGCTTGGCAGCTCTCAAAGGCTCAGACCTGGTTTACAGAACCAAGGACAGACTGTTCCTCCTGCCAGAACTTGAGAACAATTTGGTTTCCATACCTTGCAAAAAAAAAAAACAAACCCAAAAAAAACCCCCAAAAAAAACCAAACAAAAAACCAACCAAACAAACAAACAAAAAAACCCCAAAACAAAACAAAACAAAAATACCCCCCCAAAAAAGTGATTTATTACCTTATTGCAGGGGATGTTTTGGCAGAGAGAGCAGGCACGCTGAAGTGTGTTACTTCCAAAAAAAAAAAACCCCAAACAAACCAATTTCACTGGTCTGGTTTAGAGAACTGGCCTGGACTGCACAGGAGGCAGTTTAATACAGACAGGGAATGGGAAAAAGGATGGGAATAACACACCAGGGGACACAAAGAATCTGCAACCACCTCTGTTTGTGTCAAAGAAAGTGTACCAGAGGAGAAATTTCAGAAAATGAACTGTACTGCAAAGATCTCCCCTTGCCCAGCTCAGGAGAAGGATGCACTAAATAAATCTCAGTGTAAGGAAGATGCTAAAATATAAACAATCTCATCATTTTAATCCACTGTTCCCAAGCTGTCAGCAAAGACTCAGCAAATCCAAAAGGAAAAATGAGGACATTTTAGGTGTGAGTTTCAGCTGGTCACACTGGATTAGAGGAAATCCTTCAGCCAGCAGGAGAAGCAATTGCCATGGAAAATCCCACATCCAGAGGGTTCCACTCGCAGGCACATGGACACACACCCCAGATGAACCCAAGCATCTCATTGAAAAAGTTCATTTTTGTAAAAGGGGAAAAAAAAAGTTAAAAAAAAAAAAAAAGAAAGTAAAAAAAAAAATCTACCCATACATGAACAGGTGCAGGAAGTTGCACAATCCAGTTTGCACCTAAAGGAAGAGCAATCAGTCCAGAGAAGAACAAGGAAAAATTCCAATGCTGTCCAAAGTCACTACAGGGCAGAGCATGGCAGGGGGAGAGGAGCTGGCTGCTTCTTTTTGGTGGGTGGGTAAAACTGGCTACACCTTCCCTGCTTCCAAAGCAAGGAGAAAATTTGAACAATCAGGAATTCTTTTGAAATGCATCTGACTCTAACAATAACACTGAATATTCAACAATTCGTATCATCACAGCATAAAGTTTGGATATTCTGCCTCCAGGAAAAGGCAATGGATATCATCCAAGAGAAACCCTGCACCCATCTTAAAATTTACAGCACTGAGTTCAAGATCTTTATTTTATGACTATTTTTGTTTAATCCATCCTGAAAGACTTAAAATTTGTGTATCCTCAGCTCAGACATTCCCAAGGCATGCGGAGACTGTCACTACTCAAGGAACACTGATGAGGCTCTGGAAAATGCACTGGTGGGCATCTGGTCTCATTTTTGGGACCAAATGACATGCAAGATGCCCCTGGCAGGAGTTTTCCCCTCACACCTCTGTGTTTTGGAGGCTCCAGAAGACAAGGCTTGAAGGAAGGGACAGGGAAGCTCAGGAATCTTTTTAAAGGGATCAAACAAAACTCCCAGCAAGGGTCAGCCTGTGGGAATGCTGCCCTGTGTACCTGTGGGAGAGCAGGGTCAGTCCAGGGCTCAGAAAAGAAGCCTGGCTTGAGTTTTAAAGGAAAAGGGAGGCACCTTAAATCCTGAAAAGTCAGAATTCCTGTGTTTGACAGGTGTATTGAATACACACACACAAAGCAAGAGAGGAAGCTGTGCTCATCCACCCAGAGGGCTGCACCATTTTTCTGAGCACAGAGAATACAAAATCTTTTTTCAAAAAAAACAACAACAACAATAATAAAGCAGAAGTGCAGAATCCAGACTTTTGGGTGGTCTGTGTTTAGAAACAGAAGAAAGAAAAGCTAATGCTGTAAAGACAACTATTCCCTTTCAAAGCAAAGGCCACATAAAACTGTGTTGCTCAGTTTGGTTTTTACTTCATGCCACCTGTAAACACAAGACTGGATATTCAGTTAGTGGGAAGAAATGAAACCACTTTTACATCCAGAGTAAAAGAAATGCCCTCCACTGCTGGGATCACAGATTACCTAGGAAAAGGTAGCTGGGGAAGGCTTCCTGGTCTTTTCTCACTTGGTTAGAAAGGTTGTATCTGAACAACTGAGCTTTCAATAGAAGCACAAAACATTTCTTGGTGTTATTTCTGCCCTCTGTCTCTGAGGTTTGCTGTGGGGACTTTTTCTTTCCACTCCTCACCAACAGACACATCACCTTTTTGGCACCATGGGTGGAATTTCTTCCTCATGTGTAATTCTGCCCTATACAAAAGTCGATTGTCTGATCATGCAAATGCAACAGAACTCCAAGAAGTGCCACAAGACAGTTCAGCTCTTTGCCATCTACTCCCTAGTTTGTACACTGCCATGGGAACCTCCCAGAGGACAGACTGCCATCCTCACTTAGATCTCATATGGCATTTCAACCTCTCTCTCTGGGGGGAGGGAATCAAAATCCACACCCTGATTCCACTGATTTTTCCCTCTCAGAGCTCTGAAATGCATGGAGATTTCTTTGATTTGTTGAAGACGTCTTCACTGACCAGCCTGATTAGAGAAAAACATACTGATTCAATCAAATAGAAAATAAAGACAAAAACAGGTAGTGGTAGGTTTCTCAATCTTTGCTCCTGTCCTTGGAGTCGAGGGTAGAGTTTTCATGGTTACTGCATTTTGCCCAGCTGGATCTTCTTCCAGGCCTCTGATGCTGTGAAAATGCAGGAGTCGAGGATCCCAGCTACAGTAAACGTTCCTCCAATGATGGCACATATCTGCAATTACAGAGACAGGAAACATCTTTGTCAGCAAAGAGGGGAACTTTTACACAGCCTGAACTGCAGGAGGGATCCTGCTGCTGGGGTGTTTTCTGGAAGCACAGTGAGAACAGCACTGGGGACGGAATTCCACGAGGATCACTCACCAAAACCATTCCCTGCAGTGGAATAAATGAGTGCTGAACTCCTCACAGCCTGAGCCCATCTCAAATCCCAGCTCCCACAGCACAGACACTGCTCCTCTAAGGGCTGAACTCCACCTAACTCAGATTTAGAAGCTCTGTGTTGCTCACATCTTCCTATACTGCTTTTTGTTATAAACACCACAGGCTTGTAGTCTTTCCCCCTTTTCACAAGATAATTCACAAACAGGCAGAAGTCTCTGAAAAAGCACGTGAAGGGCAGTGAGTAACAGAGAAACCCAGCTCCCAGTGACACCACAGCTCTGCCTAACACTTTCCATGACAAGGGCTGCTCACAGCAGCCAGCTTAACTCCTTGTGGGACAGAGTTTTCCACACAAGATCTGCATCCTGGGTCAAATTAAAACATGTAATTACTTCCAAGAACAGAGTTAGGGAAAAAATTAATCTCCTGATTAACGTTAACAGCCTACTTCACTTCTCAAGTGCTACAAAAACACACAAATGTTCTGTGTATTCTGTCAAACCAGAGTCTTTGTGGAAACAGAATCACAGAGTCATTTAGGCTGGAGGAGACCAACAATACAAAATATTTCCCTGCTACAATGGCTCACTGGTTTGGGATTACTCTCTCCTTCAGCTCCTAGCTCGTAACAAATCCCTTTTTCCCAGGCAGGCCCTGGTCAGGAGATAAGCTCCACATCCTGTTCCCCTTCTCACAACCCCGTTGTTCTTCTCAGAACCACCTCGTCCTACACAACATGAAAGACCAAATTAAAAGAGCACCACAGTTATGAAGTAAAAAATGTGGGAGTTGGGGAGTTGGAAGTGTGCAATTAGAACATGGCTGGTAACATTTTTAGGTTAGGTTGTGGTGTGTCACACTGCCTGGTGGCACCCTGGGACTTTCTTCCCCTCCTGTGGTGTTTGACTTCTGCCTCCCCACCAGGTGGTTTGCATGAAGCCAGTCTCGAGCAGAACTCAGATGTTTTTGCATCAAAAATAGCGTGGCAGCAGGAGCAGGGTGTGATTGTCCCCTGTGCTGGCACTGCTGAGGTGACACCGTGGGGGCTGTGGTGAGAGACCCTGAGGGGCTGCAGCGTGCCCAGGGAAGGGAATGGAGCTGGGAAGGGGCTGGAGAATCCCTGAGGGAGCTGGGAAATGTAATATAAATGTTATAAAAGTGCAGCACAGCTGGCCCAGAAGGGAACTGGTGCCACACTACACACACCCAGCCACGTCTCTGCTCCCACACGGCACCCCATGGGCAGAGTCAAGACAAAAACCAACGTGAGAGCAGCAGCAGCAGCGCTGAGGGGATGGAACAAACTGCTCATTAAGGGTGAAGCAGTGAGAACCACAGCTCCTTTCCATGTGCATTTATTACCAAGATATGAACATTACTGAGCTCAGTGAAACAAGGAGCTGCAGGAAATTTGGCTTTTGCAGGACACTCAGCACTCCAGCAGATCGAGGCTGCTAAAACCAGAGCAGCAGCCTGAGGCAAAGGCAGGATTTTTAGGGGACAAGTCCAGCTCCTGCTCCTGTACCCCCTCCCTGCTGTCCCTCGGGGTGTGACACAGGGTGACTCCCCGGGGAAATGCCCACCATGGAGCTGGGTTATTTCAGCTCAGCTGACGGGAGATGTCACACCACAAACACAAACCCCGTCCAACACGCAGATTCTGCATCACAGGCAGGAAAATCTGACTTCAGCGCAGCAGCACAAGGGGCTGGGGAATAGAAAAAAAATCTAAATTCATCTGCAGAGCTCTGTAGTGCTGAGTGGGGATGAGTCACACACACCTGGCACTGGCTCGGGGCCTCCTGCACACACAGCTTGGAGTCCTGCTGACGAAAGAAGGGCTGGGAGGGCTGGGGACCAGTGCTGGGCTCCAGGTCAGCACAGGAGCTGCACCAAATGTTCCTTCATCACCACAGCTCTGATAGGGGAGGAAGGCATCAGGCACTTCTCTGGGTTTAATGGAATGAATTATTGGCAGTGATCTGCCTTTAGCTCCGTGAGGTCTGTGGGACTCAGCCCCAGCCATGGAAGGACAAAGGGACAGAGACAGAAGTGGAATAATCCCAGCAGTGAGGGCTCTCTGGACATGAGGAATTATGTGGGACTCAGCCCCAGCCATGGAAGGACAAAGGGACAGAGACAGAAGTGGAATAATCCCAGCAGTGAGGGCTCTCTGGACATGAGGAATTAAACCTGAACAGAAGGAGGTCACAGCAGAGTGGGATGCAGGCTGGTGCCTAAAGGAAAACACCAGGGGACACACAGGAGGAGGCAAGGCTGCCAGCAAGGTGACAGAAAGGCAAGTGTCAGACACATGACTGTGCTCCTCTGGGATGTCCCAAAGTCTCAAAAGGACTTTTAAAGTCAGAGGGGATCAGTAGAACCCTCAGGCAATTCCTAGGAAGGTAAGCTGCAGAATCCCACCCAGAGATTTTCAGCACATTTTGCATTATTTGGCTTTAAAAATGCCACAGGACTGTGACACCTGTCAGTACCAGCTCCCATGGCTGAAATTACTCTGCCTGCAACCACTCTGCTCCAGTTCCCACCCTCCATTACTTCCAGTTTAACTTTTTTTCACACCTAGAGGCCAGATGAGTCCTCTCATACCAGGAAAAAAAAAATTCTTTGGATTTTGAATGTTTCAGCAGAACTTTGGCTGCTTTTCTGCCTGCTCTCCCCTCCCAGCCCCTACACTGAACTCTTGATAAAACCTTCTTTCAGTTTGGCTACTTACAGGAACTCATGAATTTTCAGCAGTGAAACTTTTCCCCTTGCTCCATAACCTCAACCAGAAGGTCTTGAATGGCTTCTCTTTATGAGGGATAAGTTGATTTTAAGCAGTGCAATCTGACAGGCAAAAAACACCCCTGTGTTTAACACTCTGCCAAGTGTCTGTGCTTAACTCCAGGATCCCTGACAAACTCATGGAACAGTGACAGTGGCAGCACTGACCCACAAGAAATGTAAAATCTTATTTAGTACTGACCTTTTTGAGCATGACATGCAAAGTAAAAAACCCCTTATTTTAAAGCAAAGCCTTTGCAGGGGAAGCACCTCTCACGTGGTACAGAAAATTAGGGTAATTCTTCACACCACAAAGATCTAAGGAGCAGGCATGGGTTAGAATGGGGACAGAGAGGATGTGGGAATGCTGCTAGAGAGCTGTAACCCTGCTCTTTGCAGTGCTGAGGCTTTGGGGGGCAAAGCCATGAGTGACAAAGAGCACCAGATAACCCTGCCAGCAGCAGGAGATGCTTTGGCTCTGTGCTGGGCAGCCAACACCCCTCTCCCATGGCATCACCCTCAGCAGTGTGTCCTTCCCTCCATCACTGACCCCTGAAGCCTCTCTGGAGTCCCCAGGATCACCCCCATGCCAGCACTAATTTGAATTTAGTAAAAGCCACAGGGGAGCCCAAGTAAACAGTGAAGGAGCCCCTAACCCAGAGCGTGTCTTGTGGTTTTTAAAGTGAGCAAGCTGCTGCTTTCCATGGCCAGGCAGTGACTCCACACGCCCCAGCCCAGCCCCTGCTGGCCCTCAGCCCAGTGCTGGCCATCACTAACTGGTCTCCAGAGCAACTGTGATGCAAAAGGCCAGGCTGGAGATGCAGGAAGGGGCTGAAGAACAGATCATGTCATCCAGCAGGGCAGGGCTGCAGGGGCTCAGGTCCTCTGCAGTGCTGCTGCCCCTGCCCAGCTGTGAAGCAGAGCCAAGGCTGCTCTCCTGAACAGCAATCCTGGCCCAAAGGAGCCCAGAGCAGCTCAGCAGGGCCAGGATCCAGCCCCTGGAACAAGGCTCTGCCTGTGCCTGTCACACCTGTGTGACATCCTGACACAGCCACCAGCATCATCCTCACCCCCAGAGTGAGGACACTCAGCTGGAACAGCCCCAGGGAGCTGCCTGACACCACAGCCATTCACAGGACCAAACAAGGCAGCCAAAAATCAACTGCAAAACTCCCCTTAAGCAGCCAGGAAATGCCTGGCTACCTTTAAAGACAGAACAGGGCAAAATTCATCCTTGGGCCAGTGATTCAACACTCAGACTGAGTCCAGTGAGGAACAGGGTGTGTGGAGAGAACTGTTATTTTGGGGAAGAGGAGAAACTGAAACTCTTATTTAATGAGAATTAATCAACCTTTAAATCTTATCAGAAACAGAAGTGGAACTGCTGCTCCATTTTTGGATTCTCAGTAGGAAACACACATTTCAGTTTTTGAGGTTATGGGATACAAATTCAAATGAGACACAAACCCAAAATGTCACTGTGGCAAGCTGGGAGGAAATTCTCTCCTGTGACCCCTTATGTCAATTCAAGAAGGAGGATATCATTCAAAAAAGGTGCTTTTTATAGGCATATAATGGCAGATCAGCAGTGAATCAATGCTGATAATAAAATTAAAGAATAATCCCAGCTATCTCATCATTTCCCATGAAAACACCTCCACACCCTCACCCCCAACGAGATGTGTAAGAAACTTCTGGGAGCACAATTTTAGGGAAGCAAACAGAGGCAGAATGAGATGCCAGGTCATGAAATGCTGATTTTTGACCTTTTTTAGGATTATGTTTCAAAGCCAAGCAGACATGCTAAGAAGAGAAAGTTTTTCACCACGACATTTAGGTTTTACTTCAAGCCCCCTTCTCTGGTTATTTCTGTATTCTATTCACTGTCTAAAGTTCAGTGAAGGGAACTTGTTGTTTATCAAAAGTTGCAAAATCAAAATCTTGAAGTGCAACTCCACCACACTGTTTATGTGAATTCCAGTTGAAACAGTCAAACAGTTTAAAAATCAGAATTTGAGGTCTTCACTGCAGCCAATTTATCAACTGCTTCACATTCCACCATGCCTCACTGGCACAGCTCACTGCAGCTTCAATTTTAAGCCAACTCCCTGAAGACACTTTTTTTTTAAAGTTTTGGAGGATCTTTAAATAGCTCTTTGCCTAATGAGCAGCTTGGCCAGCACAGCCTTGTTCTGGATGCTGAGAGCAGGACTGCAGGATGCTCTCTGGACACATCCAAATGTAACTTGTCAGGAAAACACCTCTGGAATTTGATAATGCTGCTCTTCTCCACTTCTACTCAGGAGTAAATACCTGGAACTGGCACTCCTTATTAAGCCAGGCAGCAGCACTGATTAAAACTCAGTGTAAAAAAAAAAATAAAATTCAGTGTCTTGTAAGAGAGGAGAAAAATGGCTGATAAAATCTCCACTGCCAGCTTTCTTCCTATTTACTGTAAAAATCACCCAAATACCAGCAGATAGCAAGGACAGGCAGCTCTGTGTTATCTAACAGTTCTTCCCTCACCTGAACAAAGGAAAATCCTCTGGTGAGACCAGGATGACTTCGGGGTGGAAAAGGGTGGGCAGGCCCTGGCACAGGGTGCCCAGAGCAGCTGGGGCTGCCCCTGGATCCCTGGAAGTGTCCCAGGCCAGGCTGGACAGGGCTGGGAGCACCCTGGGACAGTGGGAGGTGTCCCTGCCCATGGCAGGAGGTGGAATGGGATGAGGTTTAAGGTTCTTTCCAAACCCAACCACTCCAGATTCTCTGCACATTTGATCTCATCATTAGTGAGCAGCTCATTGCAGTTTTCCTGCTCACCACATCAGCTTTACTTCTAAACTTCTGGCATGCTGCAATAGAGCCCATCCTGCCTAGACAGAGCCTAGCACTTCTGGAATAGGTTAATTTTCCTTCTTTTTGTGCCCAGCTATTAAATCAAGTTGTCAGAGCACTGGAATCACCTCCCAGTCCAGCACCACCCCAGTGATGTGCTGCTTTATCCCCACCACATCTCAGCGCCCTGAGGCAGAAACTCAGCTCCTCTGGGCAAGAAAGGCTCAGGAGGGACATGAAAGGCAGCAGAGGAAGGGGGAAGGAGCGTTTGGGGTAACTCACCGATGTGATAAACCTGTACAAAGGCTGTCTCCTCTCTGTGTACTTCACTGTGATGGGGCTCAGGTCGTAGCGGAACCAGATGGCCGGGATGATGCGGCCCGTGTGGCTGTAGGCCACGTATTCCTGGGGAAAAACAGGGGAAAAAAGGGAGAAAATGGCACAAAGTGTGAGTAAACTCATTCCAGAGAGTGTCTGCCAGAAAACTGCCTCCGTGGGTTTGGCCTTCACCCCACTGCTTTGTAGCAGTGACCAGATGGAAAGAAGCAAACAGAGAATTCCTGTGTCACTGCTCACCTCCCATCCTTATCAAAGAGGAAAACAATCTCTTTACAGGCTGACAATGAAAGAGCTGGGGACAGAGTGATGGTGATTACTCTCACCTTCATTCAGAGTTACAGGACTAAACAGGAAAGCTGTCATTGATTCTCCATCCTACATCTGCTCTATTTAAATACAAACAGCCTGGCTGCAGGTGAAGTTTTGGTTCTGTATGTCTATATTTTGTATACAAATCATTCACCAAACAAATGGAATTTAGTTTGTAAGAACCTGAAAATCCCTCCTTGTCCTTGCATTCCCTCGTCAGGCCCTCTCCCCACTGGCAATGGGAATGCTTTGCCCTCTTAGTATGAATCATCTGCAACCATGTTCAAACCACGTTTAACACTCCTGCTGAAAGCCAGGATGAAACTGCATACAGAAAAGTATTGGCAAAGCTTCGAAAAATATTGGCAAAGGTTCAAAAAATATCCCAGGCTGCTTTGGAAGAGACATCTTCCAGATTTCCAGTGCCACTCTCCTTTAATCCATTTGTTTCCTACCAGGTCCAGTGCCAGCCACAGGCACAGGACAGCACCCAGCAGGACACACTGCCCAGTACCAGCACCAGCTTGGTAACTAAAGCCACATCAATATTATAATTCCTGAGATAATATTTTGTCTGTGCTGCCAATGGAGACAGGTATCAGTTTTCAGACATTCACAGGGTGAAGAAAAACCCCAGGAAAGGAGGCTGGGGAGCCACAGTCCAAGGAGAGCCCAGGGTGGCACAGGCTGCCTCTCCCTCCCTCAGCCCTGTGACAGGCTGCCAGCTCACATCTCCCCTCCTGGTGCAATTCTCCTACACAAAGAGGCAAAGACAGCCTCAGATACTTCAGAAAGATGAAAAAAGAGCAAGCAACAGGACGCTCGTGAGCATGACAGAAAACAAAATTAATTTCGCTCTCTTTGTGCTGGTGACTTATCTTCAATCATCTCATATAAATCCCAAATTTCCCTATTTTTAGGTAGTTCATCCCATGATGACACCAGAAGCAGAAGTCCCCAGTCATGTCATTTTCAGGCTTTTATTGGAGTTCTGCAGCTCACTTTGGGACAGTGTGGGAAGGCAGGAAACAGGGGAGCTAAGAGAGGAGACAGAATTTATACCCTCCAGACTCTCCTCACAGCAGCCACTCTGTGCCAGACTCTTCCAGGGGCTTCCCTTTTCCCTTTCCCACTGCTCAGTGTGGAGTGAAGGACTGAAGCACCATGAGAAGAAAGCACAGTGCTTCTCAGCACCTCAGTTTTGACAGAACTGACCTCATTTTTTCCTTCCTCTCCCCTTCTCCCCACCAGCAATCCTGCCCTAATGAGTCAGACTTGGCTGAACGCCCCAATTTGCAGCCAAGCTCACAGAAGTGTCAAAAGCTCCTGCTATTTTCCAAATTACTTTCAGAACTCTTGTCACACAAGTCTTATCAGAACAGCAGTTGTGACATTAAGCAGAACAAATTCATTGTAATCTGAACAGAGGGAGATGTCCAAAATCCTGGGACACATCATACAAGCAAGCCCAAAAGTTACCAGTCAGGAACATTAATCTGAGAATTAGTCCAGGAGAGTGTGTGCTTGATTATCAGTTAGGGCAAACTAGAAGTAATTAGATATTACAAACATATTTTGGACTTTCATTTAGCACCTGAATGGCAAATTATTTTCAACTGGAAGATGCTTTCTACTGTATAAAGTAAATAGGGTCCTTTTTTTCCTTAAATAATTCAATACATTGAATTATTAAAACGCTGGATGTGGCACTCATGCTCTGGGCTGGGTGACAAGGTGGGAATTGGTCACTGGTAGGATTTGGTGATCTTGGATCTTTTCCAAACGAATGGATTCTGTGATAATTCACTATCATAATGCAGGGACTGTGAAATACTCAACCAGCACATATTTGCTGCTACAGTTCAGCGACTTAATGCCTGAAATCAACATTTGTAAAAAGCTAAAAACTCTGCTGATTTGTCTCATCCATCCATCACAACTGAGACTGTTTAGTCACTAGAACCAGGTGTAAGTGATGTTTTGTGTGTTCAGCTGGATTCCAGTTTCCATTCAGAATCACCTTGCCAGGCACAACAGGAGTCCCAGCAGCCTGTAAACACCTCCCACACAACTTACAGAAATCCACATCAGCCAAACTGACAGGTGAGCACGCCAGCAGGAAGAACACCTTCCTCAGGAATGAAAGCACCAGCACCACCTGCTCTGACAAGCCCTCCCAACCCCAACCCTGGCAAATTCCAGCAGCAGGAAAAGCCCCACTCTGAGCAGCTTCAGTTCCTCCTTCTCCCAGCAGAGGCTACTGCTCACCTACAAACCCACAGGAGGGGAGGAACGGTGGCTGAGCATCCCCTGGGATGCAGAGAGGAGCCTCTGGATGGAGAGGCAGTTGCTGCTTTACCTTGTTTGCCACGGTGTACTGGTAGGAGTATCGCTGCTTGCCGCTCATGTCCTCGTACACCGTGGGCACGATCTTCAGGATGTAGTCGTGAGAGGCAAGGGCTGTGCTCAGGGAAGGAAGGGAAGGACACGTTAGCACTGAGAGAAAGGAGCCAGCCCACAGAACAAGTCACAAAAAAGGGTGACTCCCTCCTCCTTATCTCAGGGACAAAGCTTCACATGCCATGTTTGTGCCCTTTGTTCAGAGCTCTGGCGGGTGCCTGGGTGACACCAGAAGCCACCCACCACATCTGTAGGACCACAACCCACCCAAGGTTTGGGTTACTCCAACCCTCCTAACTGCTTGCAACTATAAATGGTAACACTTTTATCACCACCACGAACAGCCTGGTTAAATCAGGAACTGGCTGAGGTTAGGGCTGCAGCCCACTGAGATCATTGTGACTAAAAAACCTGAGCTATCACAACCTGTGTACTTCATTTCTTTCTTGCTTTCTCATCCTCCTTCTCCTACAGCTTAACTCTTTTTTTCTTAACTCTTTTTTTTTCATTATTTAAATGGCTCATTCCAATTTTTGTGTCTGCTAAAACAGTTCTAAAACAGAATTTTAAATTACATCTCTGGAGGATCCTCTAGCCAAGTGTAACATGATGACATTTGGCTTCTGGAGGTAAAAAATCCCCAAACCACAACTGTATAGCTTCAAGAACAGCCAGAGAAATTTTGTTCCAAGAAATGGACAGGACTGATGTCCTGGAGGAGCCTGAACATTTGAGAGACAACTCTCTACATTGAATTGTAGCACACAATGAATTTTCCTTTTCATGCTGGGCCACGAAAATGTCCCTTTTTGCCATCCACAGAGTAAAAATTTCAAGGTAATTTGCAACACAAGTACAAGGCAAAGTTCTGGTGGAATTAACAGCAGCAAAGGGACACTACAGGAACAGGATATGGATAAAAAACTCCACAAGGACTGCAGGGGACCTTGTGGGCTAAGCCTTTTCTGTAGCACTGGAGGAAATGGAAATGCCAGCCAACAACATCTGGATCATTTTGGCTAAAGAGGCACATGAAAGACTTCTGGATACAGCATGAATGGCCCTGCTTTCCCTCCTGCAGAGGGTGGCTGAGAGCTGCAGTCCTCAGGAATACCCACGGTTTGAGCTGAGCTTGTCTGCTCCCTCCAAGGCATTGAATGCTCCGTGAACGTTATGGACCTGGAAAGCAAAAAGGAGGATGAAGAAACTCTGCTCTGACTTGATACTCCTGACCTTTGCTTCCCTACCCTGTAAGCAGAGGATCAGCCTGATTCAACCCTTCCAAAAAAACAAAGCCTCAACCCAGTAGAAGATGACCCCGAATATCTTTCAGTGACCATCATCACAGTGGCTGGCTCCAAGTGAAAAAGCTGATTTCACAACATCTTACGAGATGAAACTCCAAAACCACTCCAAAGCTAAAGGAATTGCAGTTGGAAGAGGCCAGTTGTGAAATTTCCACCGTGAGGTATTTCCTAAGAGCTTTGCAGAGTTAACTGTGAAATTAATTTTATCAGACTGAAAGGGAAACAGATGGGAGTCACACTGGGGTTAAAACGCAGCAGTTTTCTCCTCCAGAGGTGGCTCGTGTCAGGGCAGCTGGGTCTGTGCAACTCAGCCTTGGAGGTGGGAAGGACACATCCCAACACTGACATCCCTTCAGCTCTTCCTGCAGCTGATTTCAGACCTGTGAGTATCTGTTTGCCCAGAATAACAACATTTCCATGCCCTGCTCACACTGTGACCTGGAGTCTGATCTCCAGCAACACAATCATCCATGTGTGAACTCTCCAGACAGGGAAAAGCCCATGGCAGCAGCTGTAGGTCAGAGGCTGTGCTGCTCACAAGGTACAAAGAAAGGACAAAAACTCCACAACCCAGAAATTCCTGACCTTAAGTCAGACAACAGGGAAGAAGCGTTTGGAAGGAGGATTTGTGTTCCATTCTTGATACAGCTAAGAAGTCTCCTACAGAATATCTGGAGGTCCACTTCAAAATTTTGGTAGATTTTCCCCTCATCAAGACCAAAATTCAAACCAATGAGTTCCTACGTCCAGCCATCAGGTAACTCAGTAGAGAGAGATGTGGAAATAGGAGATGTTGCATTTTTAATCATAATTTTTACTGAGTTCTACATGATGGTGTTAAATAATCCTGGCTTTAACCTTGTCAGGAGAGTTGTCTGCCCCTGATAGTCAAAAGGCATCATCTCCTGCTCTCCTCATCCCTCTCCTTACTGGGTTACCTGACACACAGGACTCACTGCAGGAGTTTTAATGCTGCAGGTTTTTATTCTGATCTCATCTAAATGAGGATGAAAAATCTACAGCAAGTCTGCCACTATTGTGCACAAAGCACTGATGAAGACTCAAAGCTCATTCAGTGCCAGATGATATTTAAATCTCTGCTTCAAAGAGACTGGTTTTTCTGGAGAACACAGCCTGTCCCTCAGTGGATCACTGTGGCAGAGTCAGTCCCAGCCCACACAGAACAAACTCCCAGCACATGACACAAATGAATGAGAAGCTCCTCGCCCTCTGTAAGGAATATAAGCTTTTATTACATCAAAGCAGGTGGAGACAACCTGAAATATTCAAAGGTGCACCTAGGCAGATTTAAAGCTCCCCACACTTGCTGGCTCTCACTGCTTGCTGAGTCGTGGTAGCACCTGTTTGGTGAAGATATCCTTCTTTAATTTGTGCTGCTGAGCTGCTGCTTGCCTGCAGCACCTACGTGCTCCCTCCCTGAGCGCTCAGACCACGAGCAGTTATCCTCAACTCTGAAAATACTCCTCTGAACTCGCCCCAGTCAGGAGCCAACTCCACATTTGCCAGACAGGTTTCTCACCACAAGAACTGAAGACACTTGCTGCTTGTCTCTCCAGGCTCCTCCTTCATGCTGATTCACACTCCAGCTGCCCTGCTCCAGCACTCCATGATAAAACAATGGGAATGCTTCCTCAGAGCACCCATTTCCCACGCAGGCTGCACAACTCCCTATTACCACTCACCTCCTATTTTTCATAATCTCAGTGTGCTTTACAGACATTAAGCCAAGCTTATTTATACGCTAATATTTCCTCGTTCCCACACAAGATAATTCCTAAAAGAAGCCGGGAGCAGAATCAGAAGACTACAAAGCAACGCTTAGACTTGTTAGCATGAAAAAGGGGTTTGGAAGTGGGTGTACAAGGAGCAGACTAATGAGACGTCTGTGCTGAGGAAAGAAGATTACAGAGAGACTATGGGTAAGCAATGTTTAGGGTGAGTCTCAAGCTGGGTGTGCACATGTGGAACTCCCACCTGTGAGGGTAGCTCCTTGGAAGTAGGCTAGAGAAGTGCTGTAATCTGTCCTTATTGAGAAATCAGGTAATGTTACATAACTTGCAGCACCTGGTGAAATTCTATCCACTGGGCAAGTGCATGCATTCAGCTTCTTCCCAGCAGGGAACTGGCAGTGCTAAGTCTAACTTGTGTTTCACAGAGCAAATTTGACTAATAGGTGTCTGCTATACAAGTAGAGTGAAGTGAATTAAAAAGAGCTTGACTGCTGCTGTGGTGAACACAGTAGCCAGACAATCTTCCTTGAGTGCATCACTGCTCCTCCACAAAGGCAGAAAGGCTTGTTTGCTGCGTTCATGCTAAAACCAGGATTCTGCTGAGCCACAAACCCTCCTTTCTAACTCTCTCCACGGAGTTTTCCAAAAGTACTTTGAGTTTCAGAAGAACACAGCACAGCTGCTCTGTGACTGGACACTGCTCCTGGTGGCAGCTGTGAACTCTTCCAGCCTTGAGCTTACATTGCAGGGACACACAGGCCTTCCATGAAACCAAAGTGTCTAATATTAAACCACTCTCACTGCATTCCCCTACAGCCAGGGAACTTTCAGGACTCACCTGTAGCTTGTCCCCAAATGAGAGCTTGTGGATGACGTGAGTCATGTCGGGGTTCTGGGGCTGCGCCGTCGCGCTGTGCGTCGACACGTGGAAGTTACCAGGGACCTAAAATTAGCCACGACAGGGAAGACAGGATTTCACATTTTATCCCTCAAGGCATTGCTAGGCTCTGTGATGTGACATGGGAATGCCTGGATCCATCCAGGAAGATGGAAGAATGTGTGATACCTTTCTGCAGCTGACCAACACCACCGCACTCAAGTCCTGCAGCCCCAGAGTCTGGCACCCCCACACTGCTGATGTTCCTGACCAGGGGGTGATGAGTGGGTCACTCCCAGCTCCAGGGATTCCCAGCACTTAAGGCTATGTCTTTCATCCCTATTAAAATAAAATTCCTGTCTCTCTTGCTCAATGTCTTACTCCCACATCTGGCACTTGCAAACGGGCCCACTGCTGCAGAGCAGCCCAGGAAGCTGGGGATGTATTTCTCTTCTGGTACCAGTCATGAGCAACTTTACCTCTGAGATTGTGTGCAAGAATGAGTTTTATATAAAGAGAAAATCCACCACCAAACCCATGTGGGCATCCCATACAAACTAACCTAGATCCTCCCCTTGGCAGAAGCTAGCAAGGGCCCTTCCTTTTAATTTTTTTTAATGGAGGGAAATACAAAGAACTGAAAAACACAACCTTCACCTAAAGGCTCAGTTCCAAGACAGAAAATGAGCCCTGGTGTTTCTCTGATGGCACCACTCTGCATGCACACACTTTTCAGGTCACTAGCCCTGAACTCCTTCAGCAGATTCAGCTCAATCACTGTCATGGAGGGTGCAAGAATATTTTCCTATTGAGAAAAGGTTGTGAAATGAAGCAACCCTGAGGAGCAATGTGGCACAGCCCAAGGCTGGAGTGGGAGGATGGTTATACAACTGGTGCCCAGTGTGCTCTCTGCAGAGGCACCTCACCAGCAGGGCCATGGGAGGCCACATGCCCTTCCATGTGCTTTCAGGAAAGCTGATTTAATGACCTGAGGAACAGCAGTGCACTCCTGGGAACACTTTCAGGTGTGGACACCAGCTGTGTCATAAACAAGCTGAGCAAACAGGGCGTCAGGCCCTGCAGCAAGCAGCACAAGCCATCATCTCACTGTCACCCTGTCCTCCCTCAGCAGCTGGGACAGCAACACCCAAGTGCAAGCCTTGGTCAGGTTTCCAAGGCTGGCCAGGTCTCACTCCAGCTCCCAGCTCAGCCTGTCCCATTCCTGCCAAGGGACTGCACACTGCCAGGTCACACACAAGAGATTTGGGTTTCCAGAGCCAGAAGTCCTGGGTCAGCTCCCTGCCTGTGACAGCTGTCCCAGCCACCAAAAGAGACACAAATGAGCAGTGGAGGAGCTCCTCAGTGCCACATTCTGCCCCTTCTGGAGCTGCTTTGTGAGCAGGACACACCACATCCAGCAGACAAACCCCCAGGTACCTCAGCTCTGTGCTCTGGGAATTGTCTGGACAAGAACTACCTTTCCAGAAGCCCTTTCCCAGTTTTTGTGGCCTACCAGCTGCCAGCAATCCTGATGGCTTGGAGATGAGGAAAAACTCCTCTTTTTAAATCCCTCATCCTTTCCATGCCACAGAATCAGCAAGAGGTCCTGTCTGTTATTTTTAGATGTGCTTTAACATGACCTGGGAGGACAAGAAGGAAGTAGGATTTTGTGTAGCCTGTGGTACATGAAGAGGAGTGAATAAAGGGTGTGCCCTTCTTAGGACATCAGCGGGTCCCACCAGTGCCTCCCCCACCCCAGCAAGTCATCTCCAGCATTACATAGCAAGATTATTCAATCTTGAACACACCCATCCCAAAGAGGAGCCTCCTCCAGGCCTGGATTTTCATTCCTTGAGACAGAAGCAGAGCATCCCCACCAAGCATGCGTGGGGCCACGTGCTGTATTCCAAACATCCCAGCAAGGAGCCCTGGCATCCTCCAGCAGGGAACATTCCTGTCATTCTGCAGCTCTCAGAACAAAGGAGAGCTGGGATGCAGCCACTGCCAAAGACCTCTCCACAGTGAGTCAGGTTTTGGAGGTGCAGAAGTCGTGAGGAGTAAACACAGAAGCCCTTTGGCATCTGTAGGGTTTTCACACATCCCCTGAACATCGGCTGCTGCACAGAGCTGCTCTCTCTGATCAGCAATTCTGTCTCCATTACCTGCTTTGGAGAGTGGAGAAAACCCATGATCTAACACATTCCCTGTGGGTCTATCCATGCAGCCTTCTCTCCCCACGCTGACCTGAGTTTCTGTCTGATCAGGGTCAAAACCACACACACAGCAGGAGAGACACAGATTTCCAAATTTTCATTTTTACAAATGGATCCTGCCAGCATTTCCCCAGCCAGCACACCCTCACCCACTGTCACTGCCACTCACCTTGTTGATGCTGAAATGGCCCTCAAACCTGCAGCCATCCCCATTATTGAGAGGGATCTTCATCGAGTTGTCAATGTGACCCACTTCATGCCTTCCCATTTCATCCTGGATGTCCAGTCCAACCACTGCAGGGGTGGGAGGGAAAGACAAAAAAAAAAAATCAAACAAAATAAGTAACAGGAAGGTTGCATAGGAAAAGCATGTATTGCTTTTACTTGAAAAAAATCCACACCTTTTTTCCTGACATTTGACTAAACTGAGGTGATAATGTCCTTTGTCAAAAATTGTTACACCAGAACATGTTTGTAACCAAACTTTTCACGCGGTCTGTTTGACACAAATACACCTCCCATGTCCTGCCAGCTGCACTCCCAATCACACAAACAGAAAAACTTCAGGCAGACAAGGCAGGTGACTTGGGAAGAGCCAACAACCAGCTGGTGCATTCAGAGTTCCAAATGGAACTTGGGAGGTGGTTTCTTGCTCCCAGACACAAAAAGGTTGCTATTTAAAAAAAAAAAAAGGAAATGAGATTCAGAAAGAAGCCAGTGAAGGAGATCAGCCACTAACCCATGGTCCAAGAAAACAGGTGCCCTGGCCTGGAACAGAAAGCAATGGGATATTGGCAGAGGCTGCAGCTACTTATTTCCATCCTGTTACAGAAGAAGGGCCACTGTACCAGTCTGGGCCCATTTCAAGTATTACTCAAAGCACAAAGAAAAGCTGCTAAGTGAAGGGGTACTCACATTCACAGTGCAGGTTTGGCAAACTGATGTTCAGGTTCACTTCTATTTTCCCTCCACTGTCTTTGTCTGGGTCATCCACGTAGAGCTCATTAACTCTGGAGGGCAAAAACACAGGTGGGCTCAGGCACAGGGCTGCTTCCCACAGGGAAAACTCAAAAACTTGCATGGGGAGGAGGAAAAGGAGACTGGAAAGAGAAGGTTTGGTTGTGTGGCTACAATAGAGTTACAGAGAGATGGGAAAGCTCTCCAGGATGGAATGGGAGCAAATCATGGTTTAATTTGATTTCTTGCTTGGCAAGGGCAGGAGGCTTTAAACAAGTTCTGCACTAGTAAAAAATAAATCTTCTGTTGTGTTCTGTGCTTCCTGTACCCTCCTCCACCCTGAGGTTTCAGAGGTGCTACAAAACAAGAGCCTAATGCTGAAGAGATGGCAGGTTATTGATCCACCCCTGCCCTCCCCTGGGCTGCTACTCCTTTTAGGCAGGAGGGAAGCATGTGTTTTTCCATTTGTGCCACAAATAGTTCTAGAGAAAGGCTGCTCTCAACTACCCCCAGGAAAGCTTATTTGTGTCACTAATTGCCTTTTGTTACTGCCACCCAGCTGACAGAGCAGCAGCAAGAGAAGGAAGGCAGCACGACATATTTGTATTCTTCTCCTTAATATCACATTTCAGGCTATGAATGGTAACCAAAAGTGGTGACTAAAATTGAGGAGAAGGGGATTTGAGCCAGGAACAGATGGGAAGAAACATCCTGGACAGCAGGATCTCACACACTCTACACCAGCCTCCCAAAGAGTAATGTTGTCTCATAGCACCCACAGTGCTGGCACGCATCTCACAGGAGACAAAACACAGATAGAGAGGCAGAGGAATGCAGGAGTATAAATATTTATTGTTGGCACACACAATCCATCCGACACGTAAAAATAAACCAAAACAACCCTAGTGCTGAATTTGCTGAATGGTCCTGGAGAATCCACTCTGGGGAGACTCACCCCACCGAACTGAGACGATGGTGAGATTACTTAGAAGCTCTTTTCCCTCTTCAACAAATAAGATTTGACAATTTATCTTCCAGCTGGGCAGATTATAAAGCTATGGGAGCTTAGATTCGGGCAAATTACATAAAATAAAAGGAGTAAGTGCTCTGTAGCATTTTTATTTTACATTCAAAGTGCAATAAACTCTTTGACAAGCCTCACTGGAGACTCCACATGCTAAGAGTCAAAGCAGACTAAGGCAGCTACAAGACAGATTCAAAGTGGTTTTGCTCTGCTGATACATCTCTGGGCCACGGTGAACTGTTTGCCCTGTGGATGCAAAAGAAACAAACCTTCACACTGAGAAACACACATGCTGCCAGGTTTTTTGGAGGCAATTACTCACAGGTCAGTGGGGTTTACAGACACTCATTTAAAACCAGCACAGCATTTGTCTTCGGCTTCACAGCCCTACCTTTCTCTGTTTTTAATTGGCTTGACAAGTTGCTTGCAATCATTACTCAACCTATTTTTCAAGTGATTAATAAAAATGACACAGAGGGAGGGGAAAGATTGCTCATCAGTGACCTAGTTAGCAGCTTTTTGGCTGAGCCCTCTCCTCCGGGGTGGAATGCATTCTCTCCTCTACTTCATTACTGACAGATTGGGCAGATTGGATTAAGTCATATATCCAAATAGGGAGCAGCTCCAGCCAGGATGGGCACTAATCCCCCAGAGCAAGGCACCTCTCAGTGCTGCCCCAGAGCTCCCCTCCATTTCCCAGCTCCAGCCATTTCAGAACCCCTGGCTCCCTCCCAGCACTGTGCTGGCTGAGATGCCCAGAGATGCCCAGCAGTGCCACGGGCACCTTGGCATTCCTGGCTAAAGGAGCGTTCACAGCAGGGCTGCCAGAGCACAGTCAGGTCCAGCAGAACATCCCAGCTCTCTGGAGAAAAGCCCTAGCACGGTCAGTGTTTGTATTTGCTGATTTCTAAACCTCACCTGTCAGAAATCGTTCGGCTCCAGCAGCGAAGGCGCAGGAGCCGCTCGGTGATGAGCGAGTGAGAAAAATTTCTGATTTCTCTGGCAGAAATCAGAGGATGAACTGTGCACGGGCAGCCCGTGGGAGCTCTGACATAGGAAGGCAAGTGCTGAGCTCACTTGGCTGCTCGCTGGATCACTGAGGCACAGAGAAGTAGGGCAGCTTGTGCAGGTCACACAGCCCATTAGCAGCAGCTGAAGGAAACTGGTTTCCTGTCCCGCAGTCCGGTCACTGGACCAGTGGCTCCCAGCCTGTCCCTTGGGCAAGGCTCACCTTCCTCCTCCTCCTCCTCTTCACCCAGTAGCCCCCTGCCCCTCTCCTACTCATGTTCCAAATTTCACAACCCAATCTATCACTGCACAGACATCAGGCAGCCCATACAGTGGATCCTTCTTTTCCTTCCCCTCATTTCAACCTGCAGCCTCACCTTTCATGGAGAACACACCCAGCTGCATCCTGTTCTCCCTTCCAGTCCAGCCACTCTCCTCATGGCACGGTCAGCTCCTGCTGAGGGTCCAAACTGACATATCCAGCTCCAAAGTGCTCCTTTGTGTGTCACTGATATTCCCTCTCACCATGGGGAACCACACACCACAGGCTGCACTTGGTGGGGCAAACCTCACAAGAAATGTTTTCAACAAACTGGCCATTCCTCTCCTCAAATATTTGGAGTATTGGAATTCTGGAAATCTCAGAGGTAATGCAAATTCCCAGGGTCAAGGCTATTCCTTCCAGTGAACCACTGGCACCCAGGTTGGGGTGGCAAAGGGTTGGCATTCAAGTGTTCCTTGCCATCCTCCTCCCCAGGGCCACCAAGCCAAATTGCACACAGCCATCCTACAATTTAATCAGACTCTCCTGGGATGTCAGGAAAAGCACTGTTTACCCCCTCTGGCCACTCTTCCTGAAGAAGTAAGGTCTCTGGTGGAAGAAAAGAAGTTGACTCTAATTTATAGCTGTCTGTCCTGGAATACAAAGGGTCCCAGGAGGAACAGTGCTTTAACAGTAAATGGTCACAAGGGAAACAAAACCCAAGGCCAGGCAGAGAGAGGCAGTGATATTGGTCATATGGTGACTCCAAAGGCAGGGTGTACCTTCTCCAAACATGTAGAACTTGGTGTTTCCCTGGCTGCTACTAAGGAATATTTGAATAAAAGCAGCACAACGAAGGAGGGTGAGGGTGCAGAGCTCTGAAAGTACAGCGAGTGCAACACGACAGGTGAGAGCTGGACCTCCCACCCCCACAGAGCCTCCCACCACTGACCCCAGGAACAGCAGGGAAGTTTCTCCATGATCCACACATCAGGAATCTGTTTCACTTCTAGAAAGAGCCACTTGGAAATATTTCACATTCCTGAGTGATGCTGCTGGGCTGCTTACCCCGTCTGCTTACAAACTTCCAGCGTTCCACGCAGAAAGCTGGAGGGACCCTTTGGCCAGATCATGCCAATGGCACGTGAGAGCCAAGGGAAGGGGGCCACAGCAGCCAGAGGGCACGCCATGGCTTCAGGGTTTTATCCAAAGAAAGTCAGACCTGTTCCCTGCGCTTTAGGTCTCAGATTTATGACACAACAGCTTCGTTTCCCCAGAAACAAAACTTCCACAGTAACTTCTTTCTACCCAGCAGCTCTGGCCACTAACTTCAGCACTGCAACAGCTGAAGAGCCTTTGGATCTGAGGGTGGGCACTGCATCCACCTTCCAGAGCTCCACACACTGTGTGGCTGCCCTCTAAACACGTCTGCCTTGTCCTGTGTCCTACTTGTCCCAAGTCCCTGCTTCAGGTTTTAGCCTTTCTTCTCCCCTTTTCACAGCAAACAATCAGCCAGACTCCTCCTCAGTCATCAGCCACAGAGAAAATACAGCCATTTTCTCCAGAAAGCTGCACTTTACCCTGTCCTCTAACTCCCAGGAGGCACCCTCTGATCTCTAGGACCCCATGCCTAAGAGGGAAAATAATTATTCTTTCTTGAAGAAGCCCAAAGCTTCTCAAAAGCCTTTCTCAGGTGAAGCCTCTTGGCTCCACTTGCCCTTTCACCTCTAATCAAACACCTTCCAGAAACACAACCCTCCAATGCTGAGATTCCTGCATCACCACATCTTCAGTGGTGCAGAGCAGAGAGCATTAGACGAATCTTCTTTTCCATTTGTGTGAAGAAACAACAACAAGCAGGTCAGCAAACTCTCCACTGCGTCATGCGTCTGTTGCTCTGACACTTGTCATCTCCTGCATCCCAATCAGCTCCTCAGTGTGAAGGTGCTTGTCCCAGATCAGCTGTGGAGCACAGCAAACACGCTGCCCTACAAAGGAAGGAATTACAACTCTCCAGGAGACAGGAAGAAGGAGAAGGGTTCGAAAGACGTCAATGTAGACTTGAGTCAGGAATTGCAAATGACATCATGACACGACCTTCCGCTTCCTGCAAGCCCACACAGGGCACAGCAACCCCGCACAAACCTCTACCACCTCCTCTTAGGTAATCCCCACCTCGCCTCACAAACATCAATTAAGCTTCTTACCTGCCTACCTCTCTCAGGGCTGCTGGGGATTACGTCCTGCAGAAAAGTCTCTGTCTCAAGGTCAGTCCGTGGCAGGAGAAGGATTACAACTCCAATTTCCTTTGCCTACAAAGCTGTGCTGGGCTGCTTGGCTCCAGCATTTCATCTGCCTCAAATGGATGAGCCAGCAGGGCTGGAGGTGCATCTCCAGCTCAGGGGCAGGACACAGGAATTGTGGCATCACTGGGCTTGTGCTCCCAGATGAGGGTTTGCAGCAGAAGGAATCCCTGCTGCAGCTGGATCACACTCTGCTGGCTTGGTACCATTTCCATGGGCTGAGAGCCACAAAACACACCCCACACACTCTGGAGAGCTGTGGGATAAAAAGCCTCTGAAGACAGGTCTGGTGACAATCCTGCTGCTCTGCAGGATCAGTCCTGGGCATGCAAATGAATCCAGTGTGGACAAGGAACACTGCTCCCTGAAACTCCTGGAGTTTTGCTTCCTCCCACACTCCTGACAGCCTTCTTGGGGCTATCCTGTTTCAGGCCAGGAATTGGGCTTTGATCACCCTAGTGGGTCCCTTCCAGCTCAGGATATTCTGTGACTCTGTGATTCATGGTTTATGCTTTCATGAAAAGGCAGTAATTTTACTGCATATATTCTGCTTAAGTAATTAATTGCCTTGCGGGGGGGCTCAGCTTTCCAATTAGCAAACTTGTCACTTCAGATAGGTTTTTGTCTGTTATTACATTAAAAAAATAATAATAAAAAAAAAGCAAACACTGCCAGGAACAGTCTGTTGCTTCCTACAGTGTGCTGTGGCAGATGAATTAGTTGAGCAGAAACATTCATACCACAAGCACCACATTCATACCCTCCTACCCCTTCCCCTGGCTGCCAATGCAAGGCAGACTAGATTAGTTAATTACATCTTTAATCCTTAATGATGGAATACTTGGAAAACTATTATTGATCTTACAGGACATAATTCATGACCTAATTAGGGTGATAAAACGGTGAGATTATCATCTTGCCAGCTATTAACGTCTAGCGCTGATCTGAGTTAATTAGCAAAGAGAGGGGTGATTTCTATGCTTCTGATTTGCAACACAGCAGCAGAGGAATGAGGAGGCTGCTAAAGTCAGAACAAGCCATTTCTAGCTCTCACACTACTCTCAACTCAACCAACTGTTGGTCTTGCCCAGGAAAAACCAGACACATTTAACCTTTCAGCTTAATTTCTTCAGCCATTTGAGTCATTGGCTCAGTGGGACAAGAGTGTTAGATGCTGTTCCTCTTTCAGAGGCTCAAATGTGGAGCACAGACCTCCTTTTCTTTATCTTCTACAGAATTGAGGAGATTCATCAAGGCTCTTCCTATGGAATCACTTAGGTTGGAAAAGACCTCCAAGATCATCGAGTCCAACCTGTGACCCATCCCCACCTTGTCACCCAGCCTGGAGCACTGCCACATCCAGGTGTTCCCTGGATGCCTCTAGGGATGGGGACATTCCAACGCCTGAAGTCTGGACTAAGTCTTCAGTCACTCTCAGTCTGGACTAAACAAAAACTGAAAATCAAGAGGATCCTTGACTTTCAGAGTTAAACTCACCCTCCCCTTAATGGCAATGATGGGTTGTGACTGAGAAAAGAAAAAAGCTCTTTTCCCTCACCAGCCCTTCACTGTGCTTTTCCTGGGAAGGATGCAGCCCCACCTAAGTGCCAAGCTTGGATTTCCTTCATGGCTGCTCACAGGACTGTTAGGGTCACACGATAAATCTGGAAGATGAGCAACTTGGGAGTTTTCTACCCTCCTCAGGGCTGGTCTCCCCAGGAAACCCGTCAGCAGCAGAATAGGACATGCCTTTAGAGTGTGTTACCTCTTCCATGAGTTTCCTGCAGTGTCTTGGTTTGACTTCCTAACTGGAGTCAGCTCCTGAGCACAGGCACAGCCCCGGCGCTCATTAGAAATGCCCACACAAGTTATGACACAGCTGCCGTCCTCCCCACACAGGTAATGTTTGGGTTTAGGGCTATGACTGCGATCCTCGAGATGAGGGTGTCATTTCTTGGCTCTCTGCCACCCAGACAAGCCTTCAGCAGCTGAGACTGTAAATGCTACCACAATGGGCTGGTCAAGGAAAAACAGCTTTGAAGTTGGGCAAGAGCGGCCAAACCGAGATTTCGAGTAAGACCAGGCACTGAGGCTGCTGCACTCTTGTGAACGTGGAAGAAAGTCCAGCAGCGGGCAGGAGCCAGTGAGGATTTGGGGTCAGTGTGGTGCAGAGCAGATTCTTCTTTTCTCACGTTGCAGCACAAGCTCAACAAACCACACCAACCTCTTGCTTGAAGTGCAGCCACCAAGGGAAGCTCTCGGTGCTGAGAGTGAGACAGGGAATCCTGTGGGCAGCACTGCCCTGAAGGAGCTGTCCCTGCACACACCCCACACACAACAACTCCCTGGAACAGGCTCTGAGGGAAGCAGGAGTGCTCAGCAGGGAACCTGCCACGTCTCTGATGTAAAACACCAGGCCAAGTGCTCACCTTGTCATCAAAATTGTGCAGCTCTCCCCACCCAGCTTGGCTCTCTCAAGTGCTTTAAGGGAAATATGACACAAAAGGAGAAAGAGTGATGCAGTCTCACAGCACAGCTGGCAGTGACAAAGCAGGAAAGTTCATCCCATGTAACTGCACACCTGTAATCATTCAGGTCCTGGCTGGCATTGGGAAACTTCAGTCTGGGTGAGGTATCTGTTGTAGGAGACTCTTAATACTAAAAAAACACCTTGAAGCTTGCAATAAAAGTTGATGAGAACCGAACAGTTTGCACGTAAGGAATCTTCCATATATTTATAAGTATTTGGATCATGGGCAAATAAGGCTCAAAAACCTGAAACAGTATTTCCCCTGTTATTTGCTATTACCCAGTTTAATGGCAGCACAGAGCTCTCACAAGTTCCAGACCACACAGAACTCCCAATTCTCATTCCCAATGATGAGGCTCTGCTGCCTCACAACACACTGCCGGTAATACCTGACTGAAAGGGAACCACAAGAGGCTCACAACAACTTGTACTGGGTTTCTCAGAAGAGAAACCAATGAGTAAGAAATGGAAAATAAAAGTTTACTCCTGCTTTCGAAGTTGCTGAACTGGGAAGGACTTGAAGTGACTTTCTGAAGTATTTCCACTGTTCTGGGAGAGCATTTTCACAAGTGCTGGGGGTGAATGTTCCCACCAAGAGTCTGGTGACTTGTAACTCATCAGAAGGAGGTTTTCCTACTCCTTTGTGTGAGCTTTTGTGTTGGACAGTCCATGACGAATCAGGTTCCTGCAGTCATTTGTCCCAGACCCTTGTATGACATCCTCTCTCAAATTTTACTCCTTTATTGCCTGCAAACACCTCCTCCCCAAGCAGCTCCTGCTGGGAAAGGCACTTCACCATCTCTCTGAGGTTTTAATGAGGAACTTGTCAGCTGAGCGTGCTTACAGCACTTCCCAATATTTCTGTGCATCATCTTCTTTAGGAAAAAGCAAGAAGAGGCCTCAGAGAATTATGCAATTGTGCTGTTCAAAAAGGAATTTCTAGTCAGGAAACTGCCACTACATAAAGATGTGCTCTTCAATAACTGGGTCAAAACTAGGTAAATATTACTAATTCCTCCTGTAAAGCATTAACTGAAAGAAAAAAGAAAACCAGGCAAGAGAATGAGATCTAAGAGGAAAGCAAGAATAAGCAGCGCTTTACTTGAAGCAGTCTGTCTAGCTTTTTTGTTTTTTAAAACAAGAAACCCAAGGAAACTCAGCTCTGTGAAGTGGCTGATAAGGTGACCCCGGATTTCACAAGCAAACACACGGAACTGAAGTCAAAGAAACTGTGAGCAAGCAAGAAAACTGAGATACCATCTCTGAAGTAAACGTGCAACAGGCACAAAAAATGATCTTGAGCTTGATTATACTCCTGCTTTCAGTTAAACATTAGTCAACATTAACATTATTCCTGAAATTATAGTCTTGATTCAAGACAGAGCTGCACAAAAACAATAGAAGAGGCTCTTGGTTATCAAAGTGGTCAATCCGAGCAAGGTTTCAGAGCCTTTTAGCTCAGCACTGACATCTGTTGCTATCAGGACCATCATGTGAGCCTGGCAGAAGTTCCACCCTTCCCAACTATCCAGGAACTGTGCCTCACACTCTGAGCTCACTGCCACATCAGCAGGGTGACGGAGAAGGTTTCCTAGAGCCCAGAACAAAGACAGATGTGTTAAGAGTTACTAAAAGTTTACTTTGAGGCAGGAAGAACATGAGGACGGGGGAAAAAATAAAATTCTGATTAACTCGCTGTTAATAAGTACTTCATACTTGTTCAATGAGCAATTTTTAAAAGTAGAAATTATTTCCCTTTTTTTCAGCTGTCACCACCTGGGGCAACTTGTCCTCAGGCACAAAACCTGTGAATGAGGTTTCCCAGTAAGGCTCAACAAAAGAAGAAAAAATTCACACATTAATAAAACTACGTGCATGAATCAGAGATTCAGCTCTGACATCATAAAAAAAGCAATTATTGATATTAAATTAATAATTCTTATTTGATGCAATCCATTTCTCCATGCTGTTAATTATGCAATGCAGCATGCAGCTAATAAAGGATCAAGCAAGTCTGGAAGAGCTTCCTCTATCAAAAATAGTTCAGAACCAAGTTTGCCTATTAATTTTAGCAAATTAAAATGCTGAATGATTGTCTGAGAATTTGGACTCAACCTAAAGGAATCCCAAACCCATTAAGTAACTAAATGACCTAGTGAAATTACAGGAATATTTCTCTCAGATAACAGTACAGCTGTAAAGATTCACATGCACACAAACAGGGGAAAACATGACTTTTACTTACATTTCAGTGGCTATGAATCCGGTGAGCTCAGACAGGAAGAGAAACAATATGAAGAGACAGCAGCAGACAGAGACTGGAACAGAGGCAAGGAGAGGAAAAGGTTAAGTTCTGTATGTCTAACAAAGACAAAAACTGTTTTCACACAGCCATATCACTGCCCCTATGGATATGCCACCCATACACAGTTGAGAATTAACAATTTTTAGAGTCCATGACCCAGAGGAGCTCACCAGAGCAGTGACTTCAATGCCATGCCAATATCCAAACTCCTGAGGAACCATTAAAAATTCTATTATTTTATGAATGCATAAATATCAAACTAATGTCTTTCCCACCGAGCAAACTTTAGAAGATTCTGCACGCAAGAAAATAAAAAAAAAAAGGCCCTCAAATTCACATAAAATACTGACCACTGCATCCCCACCCCTGGCACTTACCAAAGACACATCTTAATTCTGCTTACAGTTGAGATTATCTAGAAAAACCTCATCTTAATTTCCTTGCCTCTTGCAGTGAAAATATGAGCATCCCTTGGTTTAATAATTAATGACCAGAACAGGGACATCTTCCACTTTTGGGCCCCTTTTTCTGTCATGATTTTCATCTCCCCACAGCTCCTGCACTCTCCACTTTCAGCACACAATGCTGGTCTGCCAGCACTCCCTCTTCTTGACAGCATCACTTCTTTGGAGCCTTGGCTCCCAATTTCATCATTATTAAAACTCCAGAAGGCAAAAGAAACCAGCACATCCTTGCTTTGAAAGGACACAGTCCCCTAGCGCGGTGTTTTGGGGATCAGGAGACATTCTGGCTCTCTGTCAGGTTCCAAAGCTCTGTGTAAGGCTCCCCAGAGCTGGACAGCAGAGATGTGGCAATACTGGAGTTGTGCAGCCAGTGCCTGACTTCTCTCATTTCTCCATCTGCTGACAAATTGACTCTGCAGAGGGGGAAAATCCCCACTGAAGGAATTGTGAGGTACCTAGACAACAATTCCCAGGAATTCCAACCTGGAATTGCATAGAGGGAGCCCAAAGTCGCTGGAATTTTACTCTTTGTTCTTCCCCAGGAAATTATTCCAAGCCCTGAGCAGGGACATTGAAGCAGCAGTGACAGTCACCCACACAGGAGGGGCTGGAAGGAAGCACAGCTGTAAATCCTATGGATCAGGGATGACTGGAGCAGGCAAGGATGTGCCAGCTCAAGGGGACAGGGCTGCAGTGTGTCCCTGTGTTAAATACAATACTCAAATTCACCATGAATCACTCACAGAAAGGCAAAGCAGGAACTGACAGCCAGAGCACAGTCCCAGCACAACCCCTCCATCCCAGCACAGCCCTCTGTGAAATGACCACTCTACCAGAGCCACTAATTAGGGTTGAGAAATACATTTAAAAAAAAAAAGCCATGTTCCTCAACTTTATTCCACATGACCTGTACAGCCTGACTGCCCATTCCTTCGGGAACTCAAGTAACAACAGGCTGGGAACAATTTTATCACTCCCTTGGTAAAGAATGTGAGAGGCAAGGGAAGGAAAGAGGTGCTGAGGGCAAGTACTGAGACAGAGCCTTGAGTGACCTAAAGCCTTGTGCCTCATTCTTCCAGCTCTGAGGAAAGAGAAATGCGTCGCTTCCCTTTCCTCATCAGAGCAATTTCAACTGTGGATTCGTTTATTGACCCACTCTAAAGCGCAAGGGATTAACAGAGATGCCAAAAAATCCACCAGCTACGAGGAGGAAAGAGAAGGAAAAAAACCCCAAAGACCAGTAGGAAAACAGGAAGCAAGAATGGATATTAATTCCTGAAGAGAAACCTCAGATGGGCACACAGCTGCTCCCAAGTCTTGGCTGTCAGGACACAGAAGGTCACCAGGGCTGTGACCCAGCTGAGCCCTGGCACAGGGCACCAGGAGAAAGGTCTGCTTAAAGCAGAGCAGCAAATTCTTGTGAGAACATCCACACCTACATAAGAGCCCAAAGAAAGAAACCAAGGCAGCACATGAGTAGATCCAGTGTTTGTAGTGCTGATCAGTGACAGAGACACGAGATCTCTGATCTCTGGCAGTTGCAGGGAGAGTGTTTGACGCAGAAAACCCTTTTTTCTTCAATTGCTTCCCATATTCCTTGCTGCTTGTTATAATCCCATAAAGGCTTTCCACAGCATCAGCCAGACCTCTGCTCTCAAGCACTTCTAGGAAAGCCTGCTACCACTAACTCTCTTAACTAAATTCTCTCCCACAGCTTCCTCTCCCTTCCAATTTTTAAACTTCCTTCTCTGCCACTTATATAATCAAAATACCTTCTTTTCCAGTACTTGCTCCCTCAAGTCCATTTTCAGTTCAGCTCTTGCAGTGAAGGTTCGTGACAATACTTACCAAACACAGCACAGGAAAATTCCACTAACCTATATCTAAAAAACCCTGCAAGAATGCCCTGAAGTGCCTGGCAGGGACTGACTTTCAAAGCTCCCCAATGCTTTTCCCAGTCTTCAAACCACAGAGTCAGTTTTGAAGCTGTAAAAGAGAATACTGAGGGTGGACATGAGAGGGGGATATAAAATCATGAGCAGCCTGAAGGAGGTGAGTGGGGAACAACCATTCACTGTCTCTTTCAGTATGGGTTCTACATGGAAAGGGGAGGTTAAAAACAAGGGAAGGTTTTGCTTTACACAACTAAATTCTGAGGATTCCCGACTACAGATGCTGAGGTTGCTTAAGAAATAAAACCTGCTAGATTACAAAAAGGAATCATACATGCCCTGAGGAAGAAATCCATTGAGGGATACTAAACACAAAGTAGCCAACTCCAGCTTAGGAAGCTCAGGAGCCAACTGAGCAAAGCCTGGTGAAATGTTTAATCTGCCCCTCCTGCTCTTTCTCAGGCATCTGCTGCAGGACACTGGGAAAGAGGACACTGCACTGTTAAACTCTTCCTATACACACACATTTCCAGGGCAGGGGGAGTTTTTGGCATGAGACTCATGTGCCAGCATTATCAGTTACTCTCTCCAGAGGCAGCATTTCCTCAGCTGCAGAACAGGAGCTCCTGTCTCAGCGTGGAGCTGCAGGCACAGACGACGTTCCCAGCACAGGAATTTATGCACAGGGTGCTTTAGCTGCTCCTTTCACAGTGAAGGTTTTTACCTGCTTCCATGCAAATGTGCAGTCCTTCCACCCACATCTGACAAGTGTATTATATTTGGAAAAGTAGATTAAAGGCTGGGATCAGACAGAATCAAACAATTCATGCATAAAGCTTCGTTAACTGCAGGAGCACGGCGACGTTCCCACAGAGCTCCAACAACATCTGAGACAGGTTTTTTAAAGCTCTAATATGATAACATGATCAATATATCAAAGGTTGCTGGTGTAGACACACTGCTAATCTGCAATCCCAAAAGGATTGGAAACTCTGCCAAGGTTTTTATTCCTGCACTAACCTTTTTGTACTTATCCCTTCCACTACAAACCCCATGTGGGTACATTCCTGGCTCTGCCTCCCCACCCCACGAGAAATGAGAGAAAGGCAAAGTGTTTAACACATCACACAGACTGAGAACGTGGAGCCATGTCTATATTAAGGCATAAAATTAATAGTATTTATTATTCAGTGGAGCAAACTGTTATGAAGCACAAGGAACGGGTCCTGTTACAGGCGCCATGTGAATCATAACTTTGATATTTCCTGATGTGTATTTAAAACTCCAGCCCCCAAACAGCACAGAGTATTTCTGGATAACGTTTCCATGTGTGCATACAACATGTGCATGCAAACTATGCATCCACACCGATGGCTGGGGAGCAGGATGGTGCCAGCAGCTGCCTGGGCTGCAGGCTCCTTTCCAGAGCCCCCCTGCTCCTGTCCAGCCAGATGCCAACTGTCAGCCAGCCAGGAGAGCTGCTGCTGCCTCTGTACCCAAACATGGCCAGGCTGTCACCACGTCTGTCACAGTGGCACCACAGACATGTTACACACAATGGGAGGACCTGCAAAAACTGGTGGAAGAGGGACAACAGCACAACAGGGATGCTGCCTGAAGAAAGGACTTTTATCGAGGAAAAGGAATGAGTGACTTCTACACACTTCCCAGAGAAGTCCACAGTAGTGGCTGTATTGTTCTGGACAAACCTCACTATTAGTAAATTCTTGGTTCCTTCACTTCTAAAAAAAATAAATTGTTTGTAGCTGGGTGGCTTCCACACAGATCTGAAGTATGTTGTATGCAGCGTTCACTGTAAATTTGGGAACTAAAAATCCATACCTAAGAAAACCTCAGTAACTCCAGCTGGCTCTGAGCTTGCTCATGCTCCAGATCACCTGCTCTTCTCCCTCAAAATCCCCCAAAACTTACTCTCTCTTAGCTGCTTCTTCCCTGAGAGCCTTGGCGCCTTCAGCCCTGGTGAGGAGCAGAGCTGTTCTTTTCCATCTCTTTTTTTCTGTAATCTGATCTGTGCCTTCTTCCCTAATGAACCTCAACCTTTGTTTTTGAAAATAGACCTTTATACAATCCAAAAGTCACTGTTGAAACCCTGCAGTAAGTCCATTCCTATTCCAGAGAGCCTTCAGCACCAGAAGTGATACTGAACTAAAGGTTTCATCAGAAATCATATGGAAAAGGTCTAAATTAATAGCTGGGTATCATGGACTGTTTTATATCTGCTCTGTAAAACTTGGAGGACTTAAAGCCAAAATAAAGTTGCAGTCATAGTAATTCCACACCATTACTAAAGCCTAAAAGCTTTTTTGAGAATAGCTGGGTATCATGGACTATTTTATATCTGCTCTGTAAAAGTTGGAGAACTTAAAGAAAGCCAAAATAAAGTTGCAGTCATAGTAATTCCACACCATTACTAAAGCCTAAAAGCTTTTTTGAGAGGCAGAACCTTCCCCTTCACTCAAGCTCCCAGAGTTAACACGGGCTGACTTCCCTAAAGCAATTTTTCACCAGGTCATGCAACCTTCCCAGGCTTCCAACTGGCCTGGCAATGGGCTGGTCTCATCCATGGCCTCCTACAACACCTAAGATTAGTGGCTTTCAAATTACAAGCCACAGGCTTGGTCAGACAGAAAAAAGCCCATTAGAAAAGCTGCTCACAAGATCCTCACAGGCAAAGCCACCAGTTTGTTGGCTGCCTGTGTGGTTCAGAAGCTTCTATCAGGCTGCCTAAAAACACGGTGAGAAAAAGAAGGAGAACCAGTTAGAGAAGAAAATCAAAGCCTGAGAAGCTGTAAATAACAATAGAGAGAAATAAGTCAGCTAATAATTGTAAGTAAGAGTCACAACCTTGAAGCCTTCCCACAACAGACTTATCACTTGAGCTGTTTACTGCAGATCTGAAAGCCTAAACTCTGGTGGCCTTTGATGGTTTTCTTTGCTTCTAAAATACTCTTTTGCAGGTGATTCATAACAAGACAAATTCTCAAAGGGAGCCCAGTGGCAGTGTGGGAACTCTTAGTTTCCAAAACAGAATAGAAGGCAGGATCACTCACAAGTTCAAAGTGTTCTTTCAAAAAACTAAATCTCATCCGCCCCTGAATTCCCAAACAGTTTGAGTCAAGCTCTTTGTTCACAACTTCAGCAAACCCACATGGGAGTTGGGATACAAGTAATTCAGTGGCCAGGAGAACTCAGGGGACAAGGACTCTGAGAGTAAATATTTAGGGGAAAGTGTAATCTTCACAGAACACAGGATAGCTGAGCTGGCAGGGACCCTCTGGAGCCCATCCCATCCAACTCCCCTGCTCTGAGCAGGTTGCTCAGGGCCAGCTCTGGTTGTTTGGAGCATCCCCAAGGACAGAGACTCCACACCACCCTGGACAACCTGTTCTTCAACCATGCTCACAGCCAGGAGTTTCTCCAGCTCACAGAGGGCTTTCCTATGTGTCCTGATTCACTGGCACTGACTCAGTCCTGCGTGCTGTCACCAAGGGATGTGACATCACTCACGTCAGCAATGACACACAAGACTACTGACCCATCTACCAGCATGGCTGAGTGGGGCACAGCTCCCTGATCAAAGGAAGTCCCTGCTCAAAGGGACAGGAAAGCTGCATGAGCAGGGTAATGACAGGATCAGGCCTGGCAGGATCAGCCTGATCAATGTTTACCAAGCCCTCTGCCCAGCCAGCTCGCTGCACATAATTGTGTGAAATGGCATTACTCAGCCTGCAGCCTCCCTCAGGAGCAGGAAGGAAGGAAAAGGGGCCCAAGGCAAGAGATGTGTATCAGCCAAAGTCTGTGTATTGATACATGGGAGTGAGAGTGGATCCCTATCAGTGGCTGGAGCTGGAGGCTCTTTAGGGCCCCTTCCAACCCAAACCATGCTTCAATTCTGAATTCACACAAGCCATTCCACCGTTTGATGGGCAGAACAAGCTGCCTCAGCAACAAAGGACACCCTTTCCAATGTTTAACATCCCTTTAAAAGAATTCTCTGCAGACAGAGAGGCCAAACAATCTTTAATTTTAGACCAGGGCTATGCAAGGACATCAAAAAGAAGTTACTTACTAATGGCCCCTGTGTAGGTTGGCTGTGTAAGGTCTTTTGGCACCTTCCTGTAGATGTCAAACCTGAAAGAGGAAAAGCACCAGCCATAAAACAGGTGGAACATTTCAATACATTTCATGCCCCCACAGGGATGAACGATGCTGAAGTTTTTTCCATCCAGCTTTCCAACAACATTTTTCCAGTAGGCAGGAGGATATGGGAAGGAAAACAAAACAAAAAAACCCTTTTCTTTTGTACAATTATGTAACTGTGCTCTGTCTTGGCTCCCATTTCCAAAGCACTTCCCTCCCCCTCCCTGCTGTGGATCTGTGCAATCTGAACTGTGAGAGCAGCCAGGCAAGAAGTCATGCTGGACAAGTTTATAGACCACTGTAAAAAGAAAGGGATACTCTACAGACTCCTGAATAAAAAACCCAGTAAAATACAATCTGTATTGCCCTTTGTCATTTATACCCTGCAAAGCCAAAAATAGACAACCCCTAAGTCAGAAATCCAGGTGTTGAGACCAGAAAACATCCCTTGGACATTGGATACAGCAACAGAAATTAACCCAACAGGTTTGTTCCTCCCCCAGCAAAGTCCAGTTTAATATTAGCCCGTTGTTTTGATTCAGTCATAGTTTTTAATATCCATAGGGCTCAGCTTTGCTATTTTAAACTGCCCATGGTTAAACTCTCCCTGCCCTCGTGTGTTAGCTACATTTCCTACCACCTTGTGTTCCTGCACGCCCAACCGCAATGCAGCTCTGACATCAGCTTTTCCATCACTCAATAAAAATTAATTAATGCATTAAAAACACTCACCCACCCACCCTAAAGAAGGAAGTGACCGCTTCTCCCTAAAAATAGACTTTTTTGGATATGCCACAAGTGGGTGAGAGCTGATGCTTTTTCCAGCCCTGGAGAGGGCTTCCAAATTCCCAGTCCACACTGCACCGAGATGAAACACCCCTGTGTTTATTCAGGAGCTTCTACTACATCAAATATTTTGCTGGGAGTTTAAAAACTACATAACTCTTCTTTTCTGTAGTCTTCAGCTGCTGAGGTAACTCTGAGGAACAGCACGAACAAAACAGCATTTGCCTTGCAGGAGATCAGAAGGATACTGTGCTTCACTCAGGAGCTGAAGCTGGAGGAAGGAAGGGAAGAAAGGGAATGGAGAGCAGGTAGAAATTTATTTCAGCTGCCCAGCTGGAGTCCTGAATAAGCTGTGCCACCACTTAACACCCCAACAACCCTCTGTGAGACACCTGACAGCACAGGAGCTGTGTTTCCATCACCCTTCTCACTGCTGTCTCCTAAACAGACCAGCAATATTCCCCGACCAAACAATCCATGTATGGTTTTCCAGCTGCCCTGAGAACATCTGGAAAGTGCTGTTTGCATTCTTTCCACATCCACCGAAGCATCAGGATGGTGAAAGAACCCAAAGTAGCTGATGACATCATGGTCTCACAGGCAGAGGAAGCTGTTGCTCTCCCAGCCCATTAAATGCTGAAAGCTGGCGTCGTCTGGCCAAAGTCACAATAATAGATCAACAAGGCTAAAAAAGCTGAGAGAGAAAGAGAGAGACAGAGCACGTGAACACCAGGAGCTGCTGAGTGTGAGCCAACACTCAGAAATAGGAAACAGCTCCAGGCTGGACTCAGTAAAAACAGCAGCGTGTGGATACTATAAAAGGAAGTTTGTTCTCACCATCAGAAATATTTACTAGTATTGAAATGATGGCACATCACAGCTTTAAAAGAAAAAATAATCCAGCTTTTTAAACAGCTCACTGGAAAGCTGATGTCATATGAGGCAGAGTTCTCTCCTCTGAGATTATCATTTCATCACATAAGTGAAACCCAACACCACAAATTAACTTTTCCATGGCCTAAGTAAGCTTGGATTAGGCAGAGACACTACAAAAAGTGCTCGATTAAGGTTTTATGGATGGAAGCAGAAGCTTGAAGGATGACATCCAGAACCTGACCCAAGCAGAAGGGAAGGGAAGGTGTATTAAAGCTTGCACAAGGATGCTGGAACGATCACAACAATCAAAAAAGGAAAGTTTGGGATAAGAGACAAACACTGCTAGCTAGATTTTGCTCACTGATGTGTGATACCAGTAAATCCAAATGATCACCAGCCCAAAAGAAAAAGGACTGGCTATGTGCAAATCTCCTGACAGAACAATCAATTGCTTGGAAAAGACATTCTGAGCTAGGAGGGTTCATACCCTGGCACAGGAACAACAGTCCTCAGGGTTCCAGGCAACTTCTCATCTGATACTGGACCCAGTTCATACAATTTCCTCAGTCTGATCCCTGTTAGTGAAAACAGCAGTGGGGTTATGCACTCAGGGAAGGGCAAGGAAAAAGTCCAAATGGCATCAAAGTTTGAGGAGAATGATGGGAGATGGCATGGCCAGGACAAAGAGCCACCTTCTTCACTCTATTTAAACTCCAAGTTAGAAGATATGAAATGTAAAGGATTCAATGACAGCTTGAAAAGTATGTTTGTGAGACACCAGAGAGACCAACTGCTAGCAATGAGGACAGAAGCCCAAAGAAGTCTTCATTAACTACATATATTATAAAAATAAATAAATCAAGCAAACGTCTCAAACAAATCTGTGAAGTTGACAAGAGTTATTCTAACAGGAGACCCAAAATCCCAAGAAATGAGAGATTTGTGGCAGCTCCTATCAGACCTAAGGGTCAAAAATCTGCCTCCACTAGAAAAACCTTTCTCCTTTTGCCACTGGCTCCTTGTCTACCTCCCAGAACTGAAAGCAATCCCAGGAGAGCACTTACACTGTCCTGGGAAGAGAAAAGAATGAGGATTAGACACCAGAGATGATTTGTAATGCACAAGGGAGGAGCTGTGAGCATGGCAAAGGGGAACAGGTTTTACCTGCCCTCAGGTCAGACGTTCCTGCAAGCACCTGCAGTAAAAATTCCAAGCAGCCTCCAGGTTCCTGAGGCATTGGTCACTTGGAGGAGTATTTGTAGCCTGGGAACAGAGAGGAACCTTGTGCTGTGTTGCAAGAGCTGCCTCCCTGCTGTAGCCAAAGCAGTGGAAGGTGTGAGCAATGCTGCAGGGAGCCTGGATGTGCAGAGGGGCTGCACTGCCAGCTCACAGGGCACACACACCCTGTGCCACCCTGAGCATCCACCGGCAGAGGCTGGGAGTCATCTTTCGTGACCAGGAGGAACCAGGGTGTAGATTTACAACTGCTCAGTGAACTCCCTTAACCTGCAGCTCATGCTGCTTTAGGAAGGGAGACATCACTTCACACTCCCACAGCAGGCACACGTGCATTTTCCACTGCACCTTGTTTATATTTAGCTTTTGGCAAGTTTCTTCCTCCCCTCAGAAAGGCGAGACTTGTAAGGAGAAGTTGTATCTTTGAGTTGATCAATTAATATCGTTTCAGAGTGGAAACAACAAACTTGCTGCTAGGGAAGTTCTTCCGCCAGGTCATACATGTTCTCATAAAGGGAAGGCTGGGCTTTGCAATTCCAGAATATAAGGCTAAAGATAGAGTTAGGCTGTCATCAGAACAACAAAGGAATTTCCTGACACATCTAGAGTGTCTTTTCTCTCAATGGAGAGCAGGGTTGCAAACAAAGAAATTAAAAAAGCCCATTTGGAAATGTCAGAGGTTTGCAGGAACCAACATCCATAACTAACATGAGGGAATGCTACAATGGTTTTTTATCAATCCAAGAGTTGAAAGGACACGGCAAAAAAAACTTTCTCACCTTCCTGGTGGGAATGTCAACAAACTGGTAAAACAGCATCACAGAGATGAGCAGGGCCATTCCTAACCAGGTTCAAACAGAATTCACAAATCTTTGTGAGATTAAGGCAGGTCAGGGGCAGAACTCCAGCTCTCTGATGGACAGGAGTGCCAAAGTCCTCTCGGAAAGAGTGAGCTGAGATCGAGGTGGTGACCTCAAAGGAGCCAAACAAAAGGGTGGCACATTTCAAATGCCAGCAAGTGTCAGAAGGATTTCAAAAGCTGTACCTACACTAATACGGTTTTTTTTCTTCAGAGAGAAGTATACCACAGAATCACACAATGGTTTGGGCTGGAAGGGAGCTTAAAGAGCATCTCATTCCAAACCCTGCCATGGGCAGGGACACCTCCCAGTGGAGGCAACCTGGCCTTGGGCACTTCTAGAGATCCAGGGGCAGCCAAAAAGATTTGCAAGAGCAGGTAAAAGAGCTGTGCTGGCCCTTAAAGGAACTTATCATAGAATCATGGAATGGTTTGGATGCCAGCAAGTGTCAGAAGGATTTCAAAAGCTGTACCTACACTAATACGGTTTTTTTTCTTCAGAGAGAAGTATACCACAGAATCACACAATGGTTTGGGCTGGAAGGGAGCTTAAAGAGCATCTCATTCCAAACCCTGCCATGGGCAGGGACACCTCCCAGTGGAGGCAACCTGGCCTTGGGCACTTCTAGAGATCCAGGGGCAGCCAAAAAGATTTGCAAGAGCAGGTAAAAGAGCTGTGCTGGCCCTTAAAGGAACTTATCATAGAATCATGGAATGGTTTGGGTTGGAAGGGAGCTTGAAGATCATCCAGTGCCACCCCTTTCCATGGGCAGGGACACCTCCCACTGTCCCAGGTGCTCCCAGCCCTGTCCAGCCTGGCCTTGGGCACTGCCAGGGATCCAGGGGCAGCCACAGCTGCTCTGGGCACCTGTGCCAGGGCCTGCCCACCCTCACAGGGAACAATTTTTTCCTAATACCCAAACTAACCCTACTATCTGTCAATTTGAAGCCATTTCCCGTTGTCCTGTCTCTTCAGGCTCTTGTAAAGTCTCTCCATCTTCCTCATAGCTCCCTCAGGCACTGAGGCCACAATCATGTCACCCCAAAGCTTTTCCTGTCCAGGTGAACAATCCCAGCTCCCCCAGCCTTTCCTCCCATCCCGGTGCCTCCTCTGGGCTCTCTCCAGCAGCTCCAGATCCTTGCTGGGCTGGGGCAGCTCTGCAGGTGGGGTCTCACCTGAGCTGTGACTGCCAGTGCTGGGTGAGCGGCAGGGAGGGCAGAGGACCCAAACTCT